TACTTCTATGTAACGGAAGCTTAAAACAATATTCACGTATTGCGAATTCCAAAAGGTCTTGGTTTGTTTTTTTAAAAACTTCCAGACTGTTCTGTATTTCCTAAACAATAAGCTCTTCTATGCACGAATAAGTTTGTAGTAATTAAGTATGGACCTAAAACCTCCCCTTGGTGAAGTGTGTAACGGCCAATGTTTGACTGACTTTCAGGTCAAGTGGCTCGTAACTCCGAGCCATTTATGCGCCAAGTGTTTGTTACCGGCGATATCGAAGACCTGAACCATCTCGCCCGACAGGTAAGACTAAGGGGGAATAAAGGCGAACACACGAACGACAATCTTCAACACACGCACGACTAGAGTATGAATCTGCAAGGTTGCAACTTACAGATTCAAATTCTAGTGTAATCCACAGTTCTGTTTTCAGGTGTACAGTCCTCAGCTGCGATCCTGACCAGCAATAACGTAAATTATGTATAATTTTGTATGTATGGCAGTGTGTGCAATTTGTGGCAAGGTGTATGTTTCCAGGTTTTCGTGCTGAGGAAGCGAGCGTCTCATGAGCTGGTTGTGCCAGGGGCAAGGTTCTACATCTGCAGCTTGTCGCTGAAGACAGTTGTCTATAAGGGATTGTTGACTTCAAATCAATTATGGGTGAGCACCTTTTTTACCTTTTTCAAGCTGCAGAAATCTAAACATCTAGTTCCTTTTTTCTTCTACAGTTTCAAATATTTAACGCTGTCGATACTAGCGCCTCTCTTTCAATGACCAGAGATAACTAATTGTCAACATTCATATTTGTATATACGTAAAAGGGGTGAGTACCCCTTGCAAGGGTACTTGAAATTCTTATTAATCGTCTTCATTACAGGCGTGATTGTTTACTGGTCGCTGTACTAATAATAGCTAATAAAAAATTGACGCATGCTAGGTCATTCATTCTCTCCTCACCTGGGGTTGTACTCCCGTTCTTTGTCCGCCATCGGTCCGAAACAATTACTGGCAAATAAGTAATACTTGTATGTGATTAAATTTATATTGAATTGATATTCAATTATTTTTTGTGAAATTACTCCACTAGCTATAAAATAAAATAAAAATAAAAACAGAAGCTATGCTTTTTCTTTGACTATCTCGTAACAAAATAGACAGTAGGGCCACATATATAGGGCTATAAATACTTTTGTATTTGAAGCAGTTTTGCAATTTATAGTTTATAAAACACAGTAGACCTGGGTGACTAGATGACTAGAGACAAGACGTAATCGTGATAGATGCGATGTTTGATGACCAGATGATATTGACCTGTAATGTCATACATTAAAGCACTGAAACAGAGGCATGATAAGTTCGGCATCGGCCCGTAGCGGCACTCGCTGTATTCTCGACCAGTGTTGTTGCGAATATACGCATAAATTAAAATATCCGGATCAGCATCCGCATTCATCGATGCTGATATTCATTGCGGTTATACGAGTTGTGGCATTCCCTACAAGCACGCTGGAATAATTTACAAACCTTCCAGAAACAACCTGTAAGTCGTAAAAGCAGCTCGCTGTTGTTTTTAAAATATAACTTCGATAAAATTTCAGAACGATTAAGCGAGGCAGATGATTATTTTATTAATGTTACAAAAAAACGCCAAAGAAAATAGATTTTTTAAATAATATTAAAACAAAGATCAAACACCTATAGAATAAATTTTCCTACGGTCCGGCCGGATTCGAACCGACGTCTTCTATCAAACCGTGCCAGACCCTATGCCAACTAAGCCACGTAACGAACCAGCGGGCCTCACGAATTTGTTTTCTATACGCTTGTCGGGTCTTTGTATTTGATTTTCAATGACTTTTTAGCCGTAGCACCATCTATGAGAAATCTGTGAAAGTATTTCGTCATCCAGTAAGGTAAATTTACAGCTACCAGCCCTTGTATGTGACTTAAACAGGAAAGCTGAGTCACAGATGTCACCAAACGCGTAACGAACCTTGAGTAGCGGTGGGCGGGTCACGTTGCTCGAAAACATGGCTCCTGGTGTAAGGCGGTCCTCGAATGGCATCCTTGGGGAGAAAAACGCGCCAGAGGGAAACCGGCAGATGCATTGGAAGGATGACGTAAAGAAAGTGGCGGGGTTGAATTGGATACAGGTGGCACAGAACCGAGAGAAGTGGTAGAAACTGAAGGAGACCTACACTGATATAATTGAGAATGGCTAGAAAGAAGAAGAAATAATACTCGACCAAATCAAAAAGCAATGTCAAGTATGAAACTTATTCGCTTCATGCGTGTTTTAATTGTGTCGGGTATTATTTATTTGATAGTAATTGTTTCGGACGGAAAGTTGGAGTTGATCCCCTGTTTTGATGCATTTCTCTAAACGTTGCCTATTTACTTTAGTTCTAAGGGTCGTATTCCAGAACTCTATCAATGCTCAAGTCAGGACTTGAGTATTGCAGTGAGCACTGAAAATCATACTCAAGTCCTTGCCATTAGGGTCGTATTTCCAGTGCTTGAAATCATACTCAAGTCTGCTCAAGTCCTGACTTGAGCATTGAGTAGAGTTCTGGAATACGACCCTTAGATTCCTAAAATTCCCTTTCTCTGGAAACACGTATTCCATCCGTACGCATGAACCTGTTGCACCATTCCTTCAAGATCATTTATAACACCGGACATTGGTTTGCCCTTAGGAGTACTTCAAGGATCTCGGCAATCCAGCGTTCACGACATACCTGGCGCTGGTCCATACCAGATTCTCCACCAACACTTTCCCCAGCTGGGAAAGAGCACACCCTTTGAGGTTTGTACGAGTATTTTTTTTGTTTGCAGTAATGTCTCACGGCAAAGACTTTCTTTCGTCCAATTGGCTCTAACAGCAGCAATCTCAAGTATATGTAACTTATTTAAAAAGTTTAAAGCGTTGGAAACTGAACTGTTTTTTCGGATTTTGATAGGTTATATTTGTTTTTTCAAACAAGCCGTCGTTTCGGACTCTATTAATTACGTTGTCCGTCCCGGCTGTCTAAAATGATATTTATTAGTCGTCAAATAGTTGTCTAATATTAAAAGTATCTCAGAATTGTCTCATTGTTTTTGAAACGCGAAGAATTGAAACTGAACGGACTTATGAATTTATTATGATTATATTTTATTACTTGGATTCTTTGACTATTTGTGCACAATGACGCCTTTGTAACTTGTGTGTTTGGATTTTGTTTCAGAGTTCTTGCCCATAATGGTGAAATAAATACGTTACGTGGTAACGTCAATTTGATGAAGGCGCGCGAAGGCGTCATGAAGAGCGAACTCTTCAAAGATTCTGGTTAGTCAACTCTTTATCGCAACAACAATAGCATGTAATACGCTCGTTGCTGCTGAATGTGGGGAGAGGTGGATATCGGCCGTTTTTAAAATATACCTTACCTAAGCCCCAAAACGCGATCGGAACCATTCGGACGTCTTCGCTTCCGTTTAGCAATCGTTGGGGCCGAGTATTGCGATTGGAAATTCGGCAAGAAAACCGTTTACAGTCTGCGAACCGAAATAAAACACACAAGGATTTGTTTCGCTCTTATTGTGTGGATGTGAACCTTTTTTTTGGCCAGGCTGATGCGATTCTGTTCTGATGACTATCTTACATACCGTTCAATAGTGACAAACAAAAAAAGTATTACAAAAGAGTCTTGGATATACACACAATTCTCATTAAATGACTTCTTCTTCTCTATAGAACTGAAGAAACTCTACCCGGTCGTGGAGCCCAATCTTTCCGACTCTGGATCCGCCGACTGCGTACTGGAATTCCTCCTCCACTGTGGCCAACGTACCCTGCCCGAAGCGGTCATGACCATGGTGCCCGAGGCCTGGCACAACGATAAGACCATGCCGCAAGAAAAGAGGGACTATTATCAATGGGCCTCGTGTGCCATGGAGGCATGGGACGGCCCAGCTTTGATCTCATTCACGGATGGACGATACATTGGTAAGGCGCTGCAGTCTCTTGCGTGCGAGTAATAGCTTCAATGTATTGTCCAAACAGGTTGATATTGACTATTTTAATATTAATGTTGTGTCGGTGAAACGTCTTATTAGTAAATTGTTTTTTATTATTATTTTATAATAATATAATTGCCACACCTTTACTTGTAAAGCTGCAAGTACATGTAGATGGATTATTTTTTTCTATATAGAGAATGATTTGGAACTATGCTGTAAGTAACCCACGCACATTACATTTTCATATATTTTGAGATAATAAATAAAATATATGTTCCTCCATAAAAGAAAAAAAAAGTATTTTTTTCTCCGAAACTATCAACTTTTCAAGAAATTATACAAGAATGAAAGTTGTTAGGAATGTTATTATTTATCACATAAAAAAAATTCAGCTCGATTCTCCACGACTTATTCCTTGTCCCCGTATTATCAGTTTGGACCCACTATACGTCGGACACTAAGTAATCACTTCTACTGTATTTATTGTTCTGTGGTCGCTGTAGACTTTCCCATCCACATTTTCTTACAAATTGAAACTGAGTCGACGGGTGTGACTATACATTTCTTTATTTATTTAAAACGATTTTCAATTTATACAATTTGAAACTTCTAGGTGCCATACTGGACCGGAACGGCCTCCGTCCGTCTCGATTCTACGTTACCAGTGAAAACGTACTTGTGATGGCTTCCGAAGTTGGAGTGTATGACGTCGAACCTGAGAAGGTTATACTCAAGGTACGTAACATTTTCTAAACACTCTTTTCGCACTTTACTGAAAATTTATTTCACCATACAGGTGGCGCCACTCGTACAATGCAGGTATTTGTCAGAATTTGACACATGTTTCTAATGGTAATTTTAACAAGAAAAAACTTTGGTATCTCTTCGGTCTTCGGCTCTTGATAATCTTAAATCTAATATCTCTAACGTTCTCTAATATCTAACCTAAATTACTGCGTTCCGGTTTTAAATGGTGCTGGAGAAATTATAGGCACATGAGATTTATCAAGTCTCATGGTGACGAGCGCAGTGCCCGTCAGGTCTTTGTGTTTTAAAGCTCTAAGTGGCACTTGAACTGTTACGGACAGACATGTCGCTTACCATCAGGCGCACGTTTTGTTCGCCCTTTCACTTGGTATCATATAGAAAACCTATAACCTAATTGTTAGAAACATCTAGTCCTAACGTTGCAAATAGGTACTTCCTTTCACGTTAAGCTTGAATTTAATCCAGCGACTTCTGTATTTTCTCCTTTTCACATATCGCTCTGCTATTATAATAGTGTTATAACTAAAAATATGCTAATTTCAGGATTCTATCATTATAGAACGTAACATTTTATTATCTATGCGTCAATAAAACAGTCGTTAGAATATTGTAAGGAACAATCATAGTATATGTACTTAATTCAAAATGAGACACACTTTATGTTAGCTAGTTCTGGCCAAAACAACCCTTATTAAAAAAATATTAAATTATTGTTCTCCTTTTATTCTCAAACGTATTTCCAAGTAGCAAATTGTTTAGATGTCTATAATAAACTGTAACCTATACATAAATCTTAATGGTCTTTCACGGGAAGTGGGTAATTCGTTTTTTATTGATTCTCAGAAAATACTATATATCACTTATATCGCACTGTGTAATAGCATATATAGTGTTGTAACTCAAAATATGTGAAATTTAATGTTGTGTCATTATTGAGCGTAAAATTTGATTCTTTATACGTCAAAAAAAACCGTCGTTAGAATATTGTAAGAAACAATCAAAAGATATCTCTTAACTCAAAATGAGACACACTTTATGTGAGCTATTTTTGGCCAAAATAATCCTTATCCAAACTATGAATTTGTTTTATTCCTTTTATTTTGAAATATATTTGAGAAATTGTATAATTGTCTATAATAAACTATAACATATAAATTTTAATGATTTTTAAGTGAGTAATTAGTTTTTCATCGATTCTGAGAAAGTCTTTTTTCGAGTTAATACACTATTGTATTAACAGTGCGATATATATATCACTTTTTGAGTTAATACACTATTCTGTTAACAGTGCGATATCTTAATACTACGTGAAACAGAGAAAGCATTACCACTACGATTCTGTCAGTATAATTTTAAAACCTTAATGAAGTTTTTTTTCATAGTAATATATGTTTTATGGTTTTCAGAGTCGCCTAAAACCTGGCCGTATGTTATTAGTAGACACTGAAGAGAAGAAGATCATTCAAGACGTGGAGCTTAAGCTCAAAATCGCACGAAGCCGACCACACTCACAGTGGCTCAAAGAACAGGTCAGAAAAACTAATATGTACTCCATTTTCATTCGCATTAAGAATGCTGTACAAATTCCAAATTGGTCAATCATACAGCCCCTCTATCACGTACAAGGGAATGAAAACTGACCAACATCAAGGTCTCACTATCGCTTAAGAAATTAAAGTTGACCAACCATAGTTTATGGTTGTCATCATATGCTTTGGACATAGTGATGTCACTGGCACAGCATTCTCAAAGAGAGTGAACTCATACATTGGTGGCGGAATGTAATGGGAATAATATATTAATGTGTGTGTTTTGGTTAATTATACCTACTATAGTTTTCCAAAACGAAGTAAAATGACGTTTGCTGAATATTTTTTTTTTTTTTCATATTTATGTAGTTATTGTGGACAGTATGTTAAATAGATTATGAAAGAGGATTTTTTTGCGGAAATGCATGAATACTGAATAAATAATTGTTGTATTGTCGCCTTCTTCATTCTTATTTTGACAGTTTACCTACTGGTATTGACATCAATCCGTGACGTTCATGATTCTTCATCCAAAATGACGCCATTTTCTATTATACACTTTTTTACGTTACGTGGATTTTATATTCAAATAGAACAAATAGTCATTTATTGCGTAAGCGTAACCAGTATTCAATCGACCATCGATATAATTTATCACTAGCTTCTTATAAGCTTGCAACACTTTTGCGCATTGAACTTTAGTGTTGGAAAAATAAACAGTATAGGTATTAAATACCTACCTGTCTCCCCACAAAACAGCTCTGCTGTGTTTCGAGTTGAAGAGTTGAGGTAAATCACAGACACGAGAAAATTAATATCTTATTTCCCGCGACCGGCAACAAATTTGCGATGTGAAGGATACTTGGGCCCAGCCGCAAATCCGTCCCCTCCGCCGGAAGGGAGAGAACATTCAATTTATGAATGTATATTTTATGCTATTTCAATTGGAGTAAGCTATAAATTTCAATGCTCTGAAACCGCCCGCTGAGTGTTACAACACATTTCTCTGCGGTATTGAAGAGCACTGATATGCGACGGATTCGACCGGCATTCGGCGGAATTCACCGGGTTGTGTCGGAGTCATCTTTTCAACTGAGTAGTCGCTAATGGAACGGAACCAAATCTAAACGGCCGGTAGCATGTCGACAGAAGTCGCGGACTCGCGGATGTACGCGGACTGTGACGGTTACCACTCTTTGCCAAATACAAAAAAAAAAATTGCATTATATTCATTGAAAAATTGTGTGTATAAAATATGTTTAATTTTCTCTGTATTATTTATTTAGTGATGTGCATTTTACGTAACTCGCATTTACATATTCTCATTTTGTGTACGCATTTTTATCTTATCACTTTAATTCATCCTTTTCCAATAACATACTGGTATCATCCATCTATGTGTTGTTAATATGTTATGGCGATAACAATGTTGTGTACTTTTCTGTTCATACGCTGCAATGGTGTGCGGTGGGGAATATATATTTTACAGATGGTGAGTTCGGGGTTTCCATAGCTGAATTAACGCTAACGCTTGAATTTGGAGGCTTTTTGAATTTTGATTTTCGCCCATTAATTTTAATATCTAGTCTTTATTCTAAGTGACCAGTATGAATAAATAGCTTTGTTCATACAGTGGGATCGGAAATATATGTGGACCGGTAAAGAAAAATCGAGTTCTTTTCCCGTCTGCCACCGTCCCGGGGCAGGATATGACAACGCCTGTCACTGTTGGTTGGCAAATGCAACTCACACTTACGCGTTATTGTGTCATATTATACATAATTACTATTCGCTCATTGAAGTAAAGCATCAGATTAATACATACTGTAGTATATACGGCAATAAAATATGAAATAGCACCCTCGAAGCCAACTCAATTGTTTTTTCAGATTAATATTATTGAAATAGATTTCATTATAAAAATAACAAGTAACAGTATGTCGAATGACTTTATGTTGTAATAACGGTACAGAGCGGGCGAGAGCAGGTTGACGTTAGATGAAGTGGAGAAGGGGAGTCGAGGTCCACACATATTACGGTATAATTTTAGATAAAGACTATAACTATGTTTTTTATCCTTTTTGTTGGCTTTTCACTTGTTATTTGATTTAGACCTTGTTGTGCACTTTTGCTTGTCTTAAGGTGGTTTTCCACCGGGGAGGCGCGACGAGACGAGGAGAGACGAGAATTGAAATCTCGTCGGCCTATTTCCACCAAAAATTGTCATAAATGGCTCGCGCGAGTCCGCGCTGTGATTCTGGATAGTGAAGATTCAGTGTTGTACAGTTCATCTAGCGATAAATACGCGGGTGAACTAATATGTCCCGTATATTATTATTGTTAAGTATGTTAACGGGAGAAAAATTAGATGAAACCATCTTTTTTAGATCTCAAAACGCACATACCCCACAATCTCGCGATTAATATTTATAGCCGTCGCGAGCTCGAACGAGACCGCTTCACGAGATCTCGCGAGCTCGCGCGGGAAGTCCTGTTAACGTTGCAGAGTATAATACTCTACGCAGGCAATAATACGATTCAATATGACATCAAGAAATATTTCGATTTTCGCCTTGCCCATCCGTCGATCCAGACCATTTCCACCGAAGATGGAAAAAAAGGAGAGAATTGAAATTTTGTCATACAAATTTCAATCCTCGTCTCGCCTCGCCGGTGGATAACCACCTTAAGCTCTTGTAATTGTATACATGCTAATGTGTAATAGACCTTGTAATCTATTAATATTCCACGCATTTTTCAACGAAACGAAATCTATCTTGAATTTCACACATTTTGAGTTACAACACTATTGTAATAGTAGTACGACGTCCATACCACACGAATACATGAGAAGTGTAATAAACTTTTTCACTAATAAGCTCCCTTCTAGTACTATAGTAGAAGAATATGGGTTATTATACTTCCCACATAAATGGCTGAATTGACATATGCATGTCGACTCCTCCTACATAAAGTTTTGTAAGTCGAAATTGCCAAGTTTACATGGGAGCTTTTTAAAGTTTTGAATTCATTTAAATGGGCATAACACGGGACTTTAGCATTTCTCAGTTTTATTTGGCAATGCTCGTTACTCATATAGAGCATTATAAAATCCTAGATATCGGTTAGATGAACAATATTTTATAACTTTATACTGTCACCAGACCCGCCCAGTCTCACTTAGTTTACCTGCTTGTTGAACCACATCTGCCTTAGTATAAAATTATAAAATAAATTGTGGTTGTTTATCTAACCGATATCTAGGATTTTATAATGCTCTATATGAATAACGAGCTTCGCCGAATAAAACTGACAAATGCTAAAATCACGTATTATGCTGATTTCAGTGAATTCAAAACTTTAAAATGCTCCCTTGTAAACTTGGTAATTTCAACATACGTTCTTTACGTAGGAGGGGTCGATATGTGGAATACAATTAAAATTATCATTTCAATTTTAAAAATTAAATAAAAAAGACTAATTTTAAATGTAATTTTATTAATTACATAGCTTACTAGCATTGTGGACCCTGGACGAGGAGGTCACGGGTTCAATTCCCGGGCAGGGAGAAATATTTGTTCGGCCTATATTTATTTCTCTCGTGAGTCTGGGTGTAATATGTGGTTGTGTATTTGTCTCCATGACACCCACTATAATATAGTCTATCTTTTTTGAAGACCGAGTAAAATGACATTTGTAAGGTTGCCAGTTTTCATACAATTTTAAATAGTTGTCGGTAGATTGCGAAAGAAGATAAAATATTGTGAATGTTAGGACGTTCTAATGATTGCTAATTGCGTTATTGCCATCTTTATTCTTATTTTCACAGTTGACCTACTAGTATCGAGATAAATTTTTAGTCATAAACATTTTAACAAGAATAGCCGAATTTGAGTATCTATATTGAATTAAAATTAAAAACATTTAAAATTTTTAAATTTTTCATAAACATAGTTCTAAATACGATGTATGTATGTATGAACTTACAAAAATTGACAATTAAAATGAGATTAAATTTTTATTGAATTGATATTCAATTATTTTTTGTGAAATTACTCTACTGGTTTGTTATAATTATTAATACATCCAACCAGATCGAAGGAATTTTTTATGAGTGTTTTTTCTGAGTGTTCGATCTTTTTATTAATAATTATAACAAATTAAAATGAACTTGTGCTCAGTAATTGGATGAATAATGATTCGAAGATGGTTCAAATGAAACTAGTTTTGCTGTTTATTCCATAACTGTGAGCAATATTTACTCGATAGTCGATAGAATATTTATCGACTGCAATCACCAGCTGCTCGCAAGCGCGCAGCAGTTTTGCGCAAGGAACTGTCATTTTGGTGGACTATAGGATTTCCTTAGTGCTGGCACACCATGGACACTCCATACAACGGTCAAAAATTATTTACCTACTACTACTACATACAGCAAGGCGCTATCTGCACACGCGCTAATGTGTGCGTGACGTGTCAGGGTTACCTACCCATCACTTTCTCGTACTGTTACGTTACGTGGTCAGAGCGGCAACATAGCGAAAATTTTAACGCGAATATCTATAAATCTATTAATAGAATACTAATAATAACACAAGTTTATTAGGTATTTACTACTCTGTCAAGAAAGTACCGGGAAAAGATCAATAATACACAAAATGTCTATTATTCATCCAAATTTATTTTATCACCTTCAAAGTATGCTCCTTTAGAAACGATACACTTGCGCCAACGAATAATCCATTCATCAAAACAATTTTTAAACGCTGCTTCCGGAATTGAGTTCAGTTCTCGCCGCGAATTCTCCTTTATGTCTTCTATCGATTGAAAACGGGTGCCACGAAGTGGTAATTTGAGTTTAGGAAAAAGAAAAAAGTCAGCAGGAGCCATATCTGGTGAATATGGTGGTTGTTGGATGGTATTTGTTGAGTGTTTGGTCAAAAATTCGTTCACAATGATAGCCTTGTGCGAAGGCGCATTGTCGTGGTGCAAAATCCAAGAATTTTCTTTCCACAAATCTGGCCTTTTTCGTCGAATTTGCTCTCTTAGACGCCTCATAACGCTCAAATAATATTCTTTATTTACCGTTAGACCTTCCGGTAAGAATTCAGAGTGCACAACACCGCGATAGTCAAAGAAAACAGTCAACATGACTTTGACTTTTGATCGACTTTGGCGTGGTTTTTTCGGTTTCTGTTCAGTTGGAAGGCGCCACTCCGAAGCTTGTTGACTAGTTTGCATGTCAAACTCGTAAACCCACGTCTCGTCACCGGTAACAATGCGTTTCATGAATGTTGGGTCCGAACTGACTCGTTCTAGCATGTCCTCAGCGACGTTCATGCGATTGAGTTTTTGGAGAAAATTCAGATCTTTTGGGACTAGCCGAGCAGCAACTTGTTTCATACCCAAATAATTAGTTAAAATGGTACGGATCGACTCGTGAGATACAGAAAGTTCGGCGGCTATCTCTCTCAGAGTTGAATGGGGATTTTCAGTCACTATTTCCTTCACTTTTGCGATGTTAACTTCAGTTGCAGACGTTGACGGCCTACCAGAGCGAGGCAAATCTTCCATCACATCTCGACCGCTTTTTAACGCTTTGAACCACTCATAAGCACGAGTTTTTGATAAAGTCGAGTCACCGTAAGCCTTCTGTAACATTTTCAGTGACTCTGAACACGAAATTCCATTGGCGATGCAAAATTTAAGACAAACTCTTTGTTCGATATTTTTGTCCATTATGAAATTCGCAATACACACTATATATGATATTACTAAAACCAGCACTGTATTTAATATAAATAACAGATGCAACTCAAACTCCGCGCCAAAATGGAAAACAGTTGTGCCAATCTAACAACTACAAAAAAACAAAAATTTGAATTTGGAACCATAAACAAATCATCCATTCCCGATACTTTTTTGACTGAATGTATATCGATGTAATGTTATATTTTTCATTAATTCAATAACTAGAATAATATTGAAGATTTATATTACAACCACTTGCCTTATATTTTGGACAGGTACTTTTAAATAAGGTAACCAAGGTATTTTTAATTGCGTGTCCAAGTTTATCGTTTCCTAGTTAATAATTACGTATATTCACTACATAATGTTTATCGGCAATACAAATTATATGTTATATGTTACTGAAATAGGGGGTAGCTCAGATTACGCTGCGAGAGGCATTTCTATAAATTCAAAACTGTAATAATCTTCAAATTTTATACTTTATTTCACTTTTTTACATAATTTTGGCGTAGGGGTTACGAAACAATCCTCTTAATATGTATGTCAAGACCTTTCCTTGTTTTCTTAGCGTTCCAAATACAAAAACTATAATTATTATCTATGTTCAGCCAGCAATTCTACTCATAGAGTACAGCCTCGTCTACATCCCTCTTCCTCACAGCTGAAGGGGTGAACATCCCTAGCTAGTGCTCTACCTATGATAGGCAACATACATAGTGATCAGCCTTTACTACAGACTAGCCACACACTGCTCGGAAGCTATCAACTTACCAAGTAAACCACCGAGGAGGCTATGGCTTTGGTCTGCCAAAAACCTATCTAAAAGGACAGACCATGATCACATCCTAAACAAACAAATCAAAATATTTTCACTAGTTAGCTATCCTATCTAATTAGGGAACCTGACTAAACCCTAACACTTTATTTTAGCGACCCTAAACTGGCTGAACGATCCTAATAAAAATTCTAAACATCACTACAAGTTCCTAACTATCTCAGCCTAAGCTATCTCCAACGTGGATGCTGCCACAACGACGACACAGGCTTGAACACCCATCGGACGATCACTGGGTTACATCACTATTGATCTCCCAGCTGCCTTAGTCCTCATTTTGCAGCTATCACGTTCCATCAGCTTCACTTACAATCTTTAAACAAACAAAAACCAACCCACGTATAACGTCAACAACATATTCTAACTACATATTCCAAGACACATATGGTATGAGGGTATACCACATGAAGAATTTCTAATAATTAAATAAATATATTTTCCCAGAATGCAGACAGTCCTTGATCAACTGGAGGATGAGCATGAACTATTCGCACATACAGGATAATATATCTATCAAATTGAAAAAGGAAAACAAAAGTAAATTTTATCTATATGATGGTGTATCTTCTCCTCCTTTCCTTCCAAGTCTGCATGTACAGGAAAATATTAATTTTTCTCCAAATATTTCTCATAACGTCAATGTGGTCCCACATGAAAAGTAAACATAAAAGATTAGATAACCTAATAGAAAACAAGAAAACATTAAATTATCTCCTAAGGAACTTTTTCATCCTATTCACATGGACTATATCCTGCCTACACAATCTATTCCTATTTACATCTATTTTTCTTACAATATAATTAACCCTACTTAATCGACCTACCACTCTATACGGCCCTTTAAATAATCTAGCTAATTTCATACTTCTATTAGAAATTCTCCTAGGACAATATAACATTATCAAGTCCCCTGGCTGATACACAACCATTTTTGCCTTCTTATCATAATTCCGCTTCTGTTTTATCTGCGCCCTCACTATTCGTTCCTTAACTACATCAATCAACGCTGCTTGTTTTGCAATTTTATCTTGCAGGTTCTCCGCAACATTGAGACAATTAATCCCTAATTCCATATCTGACGCACATAAGGATTCTCTACCGAACAATACCAAATATGGTGACACCCCGGTACTGCTATGTTTGCTAGAATTATAAGCAAAACACACCAATGGTAACATGCTACACCAATTCCTTTGTTCGCTTCCTATATATTTCGCTTCCTCTTAATATGTATGTCAAGACCTTTCCTTGTTTTCTTAGCGTTCCAAATACAAAAACTATAATTATTATCTATGTTCAGCCAGCAATTCTACTCATAGAGTACAGCCTCGTCTACATTACTCTGCACTAAATAAACTAAGAAAACAATAACTGAATGAGTCTCAGACATCTATTTTTTTACTTATTTCGTTTCTTCTTCCGGAAAACGAAAGAAACTCCTCTCTTTATCCCGTTTAGATGATTATAAACAGCTGTACACAGCACAATTCACGACCGTTATAAATAGTAACGTACAATGATGTTATATATTAACGTACAAGTTTCGTAATGAATAAATGAAAACTATATTCAAATACCAAAGACGTTTTAGCGCGAAAACGGCTCGCCGACAACCTTGTTGTCGTTCATTCAATATGACCGTCATTGTGCGAGGTGTGGTGCGGTATGTAAAGCTAGGGGCAGAGAGTGTCCATTCTCGTTATTTTTTTGTTCTCTCGTGCGGGGCTATGAGTGTGGGCGTTATAATTATTATATTACATTTATTACATCAGTGATGTGAAGTTACCTATTCTCACCTCGTCTCAGTTAAAACTTATGTTATATGATATTGCTGTCCCTTTACCCCTACTAACTACATAAGAATCAAAATAACTCTTACAATCACACTATAAAGTTTGAGACCATTTAGCCTGTTTTACCATTCACAGTAGACGCTAAAACACAAATAATTGTTATATTCTGTATGACCAGTTTTGCAAATACTTACAACGCAATTAAATGTATTGTTATTGTCTCAGATTACAATGGAAGACATTCACAAGTCGGTAGCGTCTGCAAATGGCACTGTGGCGTTGAACGGCTCACCGAATGGAGCTATAGTAGGCCTGAGCGACAAACGACTGGCCCTCTTTGGGTACACCATTGAAGCTATTAACATGCTGCTGGTACCTATGATTCAAAACAAGTGAGTATCTCAAGTAATTTAAAAACCTCAGTGGTTCTTCGGTTACTAATGTGGATGCTAGACGAGGAGATTCTCAGTAGAACCAATTTGGGAAACGAATTGTTGCTGCTAGTTAATCTGATCAAACTTAAGTTTATCGGAGAAAATTACCCAGATTTTATTTTTGCTTATTCCTTTCTTTCTTATTTGTGCTCAAACGGCTCGGCAAACCTAGTGTAGGACGCCCTCTGGCCAGATGGAGTGACGATTTGCGACTTCGGTAGCGTAGTGACTGGCAATCTAAACCATTTTCAAAACTAATTAATTTTTGACATTGATTCTGGTCCAGTGATGATAATCATAATCATAATAATTATAATCAACGGCAACAGAAACAGATGTCAAAAGTAAATCTTATCAGAAATAGAAACGGAAGCGGATGCGAAAATGTAAATACTTTTAAGAACTCGACGAAATAGTTCTAAACAGGGCTTGTATTTGATTTCATAATTGCACTTAACACAACACTGCAAACACAACAATTTCCGATAAAAGTACTGTTACAAAAATTACGGAAACAGAAACGGAAACAGACGTGAAAAATCGTGCAGAATTTCCGCAGTTGCGGAAGCAGGAGCAGAGATCTGTTACATCACTATTCTGGTCTGGGTGTTTTGGGTAGTGCCACGGAGTCATATGGAGAATATCTGTAATTTGGAACCAGGTTATAAGTGTGTTTGTCTGAAACATTATTATTACATGAACTCATTTGAGATAAATAATACTAATTAGTAAATCGTGAACCCTTGTCACGCAGTTAAAAAGCATTTGTTCGAAGCAAATCCCCGAAATATACTGCTTTATGCGCAGATACCAGAAATACCACAAACAGAGAGGCAGCGATTTAACTCTATTATCAAAGTACTTTGTTATTCAGTCATTGCACTCCCGGACACGTAATTCGAGCCACCTTACATTTTCAGTATTAATGCCCTAAACTTAAAGAATGTTTGATTGATAAAAAACTATGCAATTTTGAAGCTAGTACGTCATTTCCGTAAGTCCTTGTTGAAAACTTGAATTTGTAAAACCGGAGGAAACTTTTTATTCAATGGTAACAATATTTTCGTGTTCTAACCCTTTAAGAATAATAAAACAAGGTGCCTTGAATTATGCAACTGGCAATATCTCATCATTTCTTTAACAAGTGACTAATTACAAACGGTAGCACATTAAATTACTCATTGAAGGATCTTGTTCCGTTGCCCTTGGGGCGATATTCGAACAAAAGTATATGCCTTGATGTCCAGTTGACGATAAGATAAGATCATAAAAAAAAACAAAAAGTTTTTATAAAAAAAAATTTGTTATGCGTGTGTTACAGGAAAGAAGCATTGGGAAGTATGGGCAACGACGCGCCACTTGCGTGCCTGTCGCAGTTTCAGCCGCTGCCCTACGAGTATTTCAAGCAGCTGTTCGCGCAGGTCACCAACCCGCCCATTGATCCCTTCAGGTATGTGTTTTTTTATTTTATCTTGGTTTCAATCCAAACTTACATAAAAAATTTATAGTTTGATAAACTTTTTATACACTAAAATAGCTCGGGTATAGATTCCAACAGATTTTTTTTTAACGCACGCACTCAAAGCCACGCACTAAAGAAACGTAGTATACGTACGTATCGCGGGTGCCATAGACGCACACACACAAATTACATCCAAACTCACTAGAGAAATAAATGTAGACCGTACGTTGATCTAACACAAATATTTATCCTGGCCCGGACCGTAACCCTTCGGCTACGGATACAGTTAATTATCTTTTTCATAGTAGTGAAAACGCATTGACTTGAGTGACTTGTCACGCGTCGTAGAGACACACGGAGTCTCTAAAGATTTTGGTAAACAAAATGTAAATTGTAAAATTTTTGCGAACAGCTGCGCTTTAGAGACACTGTTTGATGCTACGGTAGAGTACAAATAAAACAAAAAACCAAATACCGCCCTGTGGCCGAATGATAAAAATACCGCCTAGTTTTGTACGAGCAAGTATGATGAAAAATACTTTATCCAATAAAATTTCAGTCAGGTGTAAAAGTATGTATGTGAACAGGGAGAAAATCGTAATGTCGCTGCTTTGCCCGATTGGGCCTGCAGCCAACATCCTGCAGCCGAGCGCACAGTTCGTCCACCGTGTTTTCCTGCCGCAGCCCATCCTGTCACTGCCGGACCTTCACGCGCTCAAGACCACCAATCACCGCGGCTGGAAGGTGAGGACACAGTACTAACTTCATATGTAGCGTCTCCTTGCCCTGTCAACTTCAAAATATGTCGCCAAATACCCTTTGATGATGACAGATGTGTACAGTTGTGACGGTGTGACCTCCTTTCACCGTCATCTCACCTTTTTGTGTCGCCTCTCCCGACTTGTATCCTATCATTGTTTTATTTTACATGTATTTAAATTTGAATTGTTCCATCTTCCTTCACTTTCTCATTTTGTTTTCGTACCACGGTCACTCCCAGCTCGACCGCCACAACATTCGGAGCTGTTTCAAAATCCATCGCGAATAATCGCTAATTTTGGTTCTTTACTACGTTTATAATAATTAAATAAGCTAAAACATGTGTAATAATAAATAACAGTCTACAGCCTTCATGTACCTATATCTGTAATTCAGTTACTCGGCCCATTTAGGGGTAAGTGCCTTTATTAAAGTGTAGGGAGTGTTTTTTTACTGTTGTACCTGTTTTTTTTTACATTTACCTTTATATTGTTTCAGCCCCTTTCTTTTAACTTTACTTCTTTAATAAATTTTGTGGACCGGAAGTTTCCTGTTTCATTGCCTGAATTCACGGCTAGTCAGGGTTACAACCCTTTCACAGTGATGGATTGAGGTTGTATAGACTCTTAACGATCATATTCTACGAGTAAAACTTTGGTAATTAATATTAATAAATGCTAACTAAGAAAGCAATGCAAACATTTCCGACCATGTTTGGGAAAAAAAAGTAATCTTTTGTCCAGACGAAAGTGCTGGACTGCACGTTCCCCTACGCGGAGGGGCCGCTGGGCCTGGAGCCGGCGCTGACCCGCATCGCCAACGAGGCCTCCGCCGCGGCACAGGACGGATATCAGCTCATCGTCCTGAGCGACCGCGCGGCTGGGAAGGAGAGGGTGCCCGTCAGCTCCTTGCTTGCTCTTGGTAAACTTTAAAACTTAACATTATTATTTACGCATACAACAAAAAACAATGAAACATACGTTTCCCGTTCCTATAAAAGGATATTTTTTTTGCTATTAGTCTTTTTACATATTTGGTATGAATTTAATCATATTTCGACTTTAACTCTGTGACTGTAGTAAAAAGGGGTACAAGTCAAAAAAGTCAACTTTACAAGGAGACGCGAAAAACAGTTAAGACTTACTATGATACTAAGCGTTAAGTGTTCTTCGCGTTTCCTTGTTTAGTTGGCTATTTTGACTTGTACCCCTTTTTACAAGAGCCACAGAACTAATAATAATAAGACACACACTCTTAGCCATGCACTTGGAAAATCCTGCAAAAAATACAGTCGAATTCAGAACCTCCTCCTTTTTTTGAAGTCGGTTAAAATAGTTCCTTTTCCTATGTTCAACAATCGGGGAAACCTAAGAACTCGATAAGTTTTCCCAAATTTGTCCTAACGGGATTCTACCACGGAACCTCCTCTAACACTCACAGTGCATGTCACTGAATCATCGAGGTCGTCTAATAAATGGCGATCCCTGACTGAAGGTATCGAGTATATTTGTAACAATTTGTTTTTGTGTCCAGGTGCTGTCCACCACCACATGATCGAGACTCGACAGCGCATGAAAGTTGGGATCATCGTAGAGACGGCGGAAGCCAGAGAGGTTCACCACATGTGTGTCTTGCTAGGTCAGTGTACATTGTTAAAATAAATGTATAAGATGAAGCAACAAATGCTATTAAATGCAAATGTAATATATGTATTGCCCATTTACTAATAAAAATAAATAAAATAAAGTAAATGTACTATATGAGGGGAAACATTGTGACGAAACTAGCAGTTCGAAGAAGGTTCACAATCCCTGGAAAATGTGTCAAGTTCCCAACCCAAAGCGTAGTAGACTATGACCCGAACTAAGTCCAAACTCATAGTACCACGATTTCGTTTAACCAAGGTAAACAAACGACTCTTTTATAGGGAACTGTATACGTTTTTACAATAAGACTCCGGAGCATATATTAAGATTATCAATTTCTAAGTTTAAAAACTAAACATATTTTAATTGAAAAGTCATATTGCAAAATTGAAGACTACATGTTAGATAAAGATGTATGGAAAGTCGACATGGCTCCAGAATCCACTTTTGTTTGATTCAAAGACACAAATTTGATTCAAAATGTATTATTCCATAGCATTTAAGTTTATTTGAAAAGAGCAATCCCTAGAGTTGCTTGTTCTTCTCAGGGAAGTCGGCGTAGTGAACAAGCAGTAGCTTAAATGTGACGTTTTCAAGTGTAAATTTATTTTACCTATGGAATAAATGTTTCTTTGACTTGAACTCTATCCTCAGTAAAGACCCGCCCCTTACAGTGGGACGTATAAAAGACCAATGAAAAAATGTCTATTTCTTCCCAGGGTATGGCGCGGATGCAATCTGTCCATACCTCGCTTTCGAACTGGCCTTCGCTCTCCGCAACGACCACATCCTCGACCCGAACCTAACCGACGAGGACATCTACGTCGCCTACCAGAAAGCCATGGAGACTGGCTTAGCCAAAGTGATGGCGAAGATGGGGATTAGTATGCTGCAGTCTTACAGGAGCGCGCAGATCTTTGAGGCAGTTGGTCTGAGTGAGGAGGTCATTGATAAGTGCTTCAAGGGAACTCAGTCTAGAATTGGTAAGTATCCTATTCTATGGCTAAATTTTTGGTGTTAAACCTGCATCAAGTCCTTGCAGATTCAAGCAAGTGTCGCAGCAATGCAATGCTGACTACACTAAGCATTGCTGTGAACAAGTCCTAAAACAAGCATCTTGTTTAAGATAATATATCGACAATATCGTTTGATACAATACACAGTTTATTGCTACGTAGTATCCTCTTCTAGGCATCCTCGTAGTGCCAGAATAATATGTATTAAAGAAAAATAAATAAAGAGGCAAAAAATACTCATCATAGCATAGCATCAACACAAAGCTTTACTTTAACTGCCTCGGTGGTCGAACGGTTACCATGCTGGACTGCCACGCAGAGGTCTCGGGTTCGATTCCCGGGCCGGGAGAAATATTTGTATGGCCTACATTTATTTATCTCGTGATCAGTGTAATTTGTGGTTGTCTACCTCTGAGTGTGTCCATGGCACCCGCGATATAGGGTTTCCCTAGTGCGGGGCTATGAGTGTGTGCGTTATTATTATTATTATTATTATTATTATTTACTAAGTCGGTTCCTGAGGTAGCTGCACGGTGCGGAAGGAGTGACTTATGATGAAGAAATAAAAATTATACGTTATTACAGGTGGTGTGAACTTCGAAATTCTTTCTCAAGACATCTTTGACAGATACGCTTTGGCCTACGGAGAAATGAGAGACGCTCTCGTTTTAAGGTAGTTATTTAAGACTTTTACAGCTTATGCTTAATTTACAATGAATAAGAACAGGCGGAGAAAATTTGACTGGGCGATTTTCAAATGTAATAACTATAGGGCTTCAATTGAAAACCAAAATTTTCAAGTTCTCTGTAGCATTTAAAAAGAAATATCTCTATATAAAAATTATTAGGATTTTATATGATCTTGTACATCCTATCGTGTAACAAACAGTTTTCCCGCTTTTTCTCCGGTGACTCGCTAATCGTAAAGTGGTGGCACCAGTAATCGACGAGCACCACTGTTCGACAGCTTTTTTAAAATTAGTTTGTAATAAGATTTAGGACCAAATTTTCTATCATAGTAATACGTTGGTTATTTATCGGATCACTTCGTAATCACTTTTAAACCATTTGCTGTAAAAGTGTGAAGTCTAAAATTACTTTCTCAGGAACCCCGGTAACTATCACTGGCGCGCTGGTGGCGAGAAACATATCAACGATCCGATGTCCATCGCTAACCTCCAAGAAGCTGCTTTGAATAATAGCTCTTCAGCTTATGATAAATACAAGTGAGTTTCGTATCTTTCAAGTTGATCCTAAAGCTCATTCTGGACATCAAAAGTAATACAAATTTTCATATACATCGTCCAACCATTATGCATGCCTCCGAAGTTCCGTAATTATTGAAATACAACCAGAGATAAACAAATGCAATACTTCCTGGACAATACTCTTTAGTTCCGATATTTATCGAGCCAGCAGATTATCAACCAAAAATTATTCAAATTGATACATTTTGCTACCTGTCTAATAAATTATATTGAAATGAAATAAATTATAAATAATTATAATACGTTTTTAATGTTTATTATAATCAGTCGTCGGATTCTTCTCCATATGAACGGGATTCATTACTTGAATCCTCGTTAACATTAATTAGAAATTCTTGAGTACACAAATTGTCACACGCAACATCACAATCACAATCAGATAATATCTTCTTTTTTCAACCCGCTTAGATTCACGATTTAAACTTCTTCATAAATAAAATCGATTGGTATAAAAAAATCGAATCGGAAACGCACCAGTACGTCACTAATTGATTAGAATTCGAGCTGTCAAAAGTTAAATAAATGGTTGGCGGAGTATTTTGTGTGAAAATAAACGAAAGTTGGACTAGTTGGTTTTCTCAGCGCGAAGTCGATTTGATTGTTAGATTTCCTCTCCCATACAAGATGGCACCACTACGTCTAGGTTCATAATCGTAGTAAAACGAATATTTATTATCATACCTACTTGACTATTAAGATTAATTTCGCCATAAACCAGTCTACGTGATCTAATCTTGTGAATGAAATTTTCAATTAATGAATCCTTTAAGTATTTCATTTTGAGTTTTCTCCTCCTCGGTCGGTCCCTCACTGCTAAAGATCGTGACTTTGTTCAAGTCACACCGTCAACTAATCTTCTCCACTGCACGTCTTTGGCAAAGTAGAATGTGACGCTCACTGGTACTACCAGACGTTCAACCACCAGGGGGTCGATTCAGAACCTTACGATAACTCAGTTGTCGACCGATTCGATTTGATAACGTACGACTTCTTTTCATTTTTATTTACAACACCCGAATCGAACGTCAAATTGTCGTATTCGAAACCGAACTGAAATGACGTCACTCCCGAACTTCTCGACCGGGAAAGGCTACAAACGTTATTCAGAACACAGTTATCGAATAAAAGTTATTATTTTAAATGAAGTCTGGATTTTGCTAAATTTTATTAATTTATTTTAATGCAAGACTAATGCATTCCTATATTTTAGGCTTTAAAGTTTTAAAAATGTATATAAAAGGATTTTCAGTTTTCTTATAATCTATTTCACCAACTAACTCCGTAAACGCTCTTGGATAACGATATCGTATCTGGAGGTCTACTCTCGATCTCCGTCCGACATCCGTCCGAAACAATTACTGTCAAATAAGTAATATTCGACAAAATTAAAAGACAAGTATCCAGTATGAAGCTTCATTCGCATCACGCGTCTTTTCATTTGGTCAAGTATTACTTATTTGGCAGTAATTGTTTCGGACGGAGATCGAGTGTAGACCCCTGAATCGAAATTTAACTGTATAGCTCGGAAAGCACCCTTCGATTCGAGAACAATAGCCAAACGAACGATTCGATTAAAATATCAAAGAGTTCTAAGTCGGGGTCTTGGTCACACGTCGTTTCGAATTTCGACCACTAGGTCGTTTGGCCTCTATCCTGCCCGTAACAATCACTCTCTCGAATTTTGAGTTAAGCTATTTTTATATACTATCTTTTTCTCAGCTAATTATTAAACGTATATAATTCGTAATTATGTAAATGGTTACTCCATTTATGTTCTTGTTTTCACAGGGAAAGCGCATTAGAATCCGTTCGGGCGTGTACGCTCCGAGGCCAGCTGGAGCTCGTGAAGCTGGACGAACCGATCCCGCTGAATGAAGTGGAGCCGGCCTCTGAGATCGTGAAGAGATTCGCCACCGGCGCAATGTCCTTCGGATCGATCTCGTTGGAGGCGCACACGACTCTGGCCATTGCCATGAACCGCATCGGAGGCAAGTCCAACACCGGCGAGGGTGGCGAGAACGCAGACCGGTACTTGAACCAAGTAAGTTAGATAATAGGTTATTGTTGTATTAGCGTTATTAAGTTGTAATTTTACGCACACTTGTCAATGTTAAGTGGTATTACGTCTCGCTAACGGTGAACTAAAACATCTTGTAAAACTTGCACGTCGAAAAAGGCACAACCTTTGGAAGATGTTTGAAGTCTTTAACCAGCAAGTTTCCCAAGGGGTCCATAGTGGTCTATGCCGTAATCCAAGGGATCCGTCTTAAGTAAAAATATTTTAAGAGTCTGACGAGTTGCTGGAGGTTTCATAAAAGATCGAAACCAAATCTATAGTTTCAGGATTTTTCGTTGGTTTTATTGTACCGTTATAAAGTTAATTTACTTTGTGGTTAAGTTTTTGTTATTTTAAGGGGTTTATGACCGAAATAAATCCGGGAATCACTGATCTAAAACCCATCTCCTCCTGAACATTAGATAGCTATCTAATATGTTCAGAAATGATTATTCTAAAGCATCGGTGTTATCCCAGGATCCCGACTACAACAAGAGGTCAGCGATCAAGCAAGTAGCTTCCGGACGCTTCGGCGTGACGGCATCGTATCTCGCACACGCTGACGACCTGCAAATCAAGATGGCCCAAGGCGCTAAACCTGGAGAGGGCGGCGAATTACCCGGTAAGCACAATCATGCCATGCTTAGAATAGTTGTTCAAGGATTTTGTTTTGTGACACCAGTCTTGAATTGGCTAAAATAAGAAAATATCCGTTTATTACGTTACACATATTTTTATTAACAACTTTCTATTTTAATTGAGAATAGCACGTTTCTCCAATGTGCCCTTGGTACCAAATTTGTCCTTGTAGACCCATGTTACGTTATCATATTCATATTTTTAATTAACAATGACAATTTGTTTGCCAAAATCTGTGATTAAATCATTGACTTACAAATAAATGGACGACGGGTCTAATACAAAAACCACGAAAAAAATGTCCCAAGTCAACCTATTCGAAATTTAAATTGTAATGTCATCGCAGTAGCGCGCTGTCAGTCGAACAAATGAAGACTAAAGCGGAGTTTGGCGCTCTGTATACGATTTTAGCGCCTTACAAGTGCGGACACTTTTTAGCGCGGACCCGACGTCCATATAATTGTAAGTCAATGGATTAAATAAATTGTTAATTTCCACAAATGAAAACTTGCAAGTTTGTTCCCGTTGACCCAAATTACCAATTTCCCCAACTGGCAACCGTTAACGGAATCTTGTAGAAAGTTGACAGCAGCGTCAACTAAAATCGCTTCTTCTGCGTAGCGCCGAAAGTCTATGACCTTGCAGATAAAGAACGAACTAACGAACTCTTATGTAAAAGCTAAATTAAATAAATAGTCAATAACCATCACATCCTTACAGGCTACAAAGTGACAGAACAAATTGCCAAAACTCGCTGCTCGGTACCGGGAGTGGGGCTGATTTCCCCACCACCCCACCACGATATCTACTCGATCGAGGACTTGGCCGAGCTGATCTACGACCTCAAGTGCGCCAATCCACGCGCACGCATTTCTGTCAAACTCGTTTCGGAAGTTGGTGTAGGCGTTGTCGCTTCGGGAGTCGCCAAGGTATACTTAATTAAATTAAATAAACTATATAAAAACTGAACCAAGTAAGCTTGTGCATTGTATAAATAGCCCTGTGATCTGTACATGGACTCAATCATTCATTTTTTTATCTCAGACGCGCTGACTAAAGTGTTTTAACCTTGAAATTTTAAGTCAAAAAGATAATCTACTCGTATCTGATTTCTTTCAAATTACTCTCTGTATATTCCCTACTTCCCTTTTTCTGCTGGAAACATTTGATAACGTACCAACTAGACTTTAAATACATAGCAGCAACGTTCGTAATGGTACGTAATTACACTGATATCGTTCTTTGGTACACTAATGGACGAAACTTTAAATTGTGATGAAATTGAATTATTTATATTATTATGTTTCAACATTTTAAATTGTGAATAGTATTGGGTAAATATTTTTTTTCATATACATTGTAAGTTACCTACATTTGTAGTAATGGGGACCAAATTATCCGGTACACTGTAACTTCAAATTGCGTTCACCGCTCTGGGTCGCGGTTGGTTCAACAGGTGTCCATAGGCAAATATTTTCCATATTTTAGTACCTGTGGACGAAGTCTAGAGCTTATCTTTTGGTTGTAAATTTATGGTTATGTTTTTTAGTATCTGTTTTTATTGAATAAAATTTACTTTATACGTAACAATGTGGAGTTTGCTGCGTGTTTTGGTATACGCAACTATAAAAATAATCAGATATGGGTTGGATAATTTGCGCATAATGTCGTTCTGCATTCAATCTATGGTGTGCTGGTGTCCAGGGCAAAGCTGAGCACATAGTAATTTCGGGCCACGACGGCGGCACAGGCGCCAGCTCGTGGACGGGCATCAAGTCGGCCGGCCTGCCCTGGGAGCTGGGCATCGCCGAGACGCACCAGGTGCTCGTGCTCAACGACCTGCGCTCCAGGTGACTACTCGGCGAAGCTTGCCTTTCTGAACTTGAATCATATGTCCATGAATGCCTTTGATACCTTGACACTAAGGCTGATACAGATTGACTGCACGTTTGCAGTTAATGCGTAAAGTCGTTATCAACTTCATGCAGTCGAGGTTTCGGCATTACATCGATCTCGACTGCATGAAGTCGGTTTCGAAATAATAAAGTATTATATTACTAACATCATTAACAAACTGGTTCCACCCTGTATACCGGTTTGCATTTTTTAAAATTGTTTTGTAGTTGAATGCCGTCCTTGTATGCTATTTAAAAAAAAATGTATGTTTCTCTGCGTTCTCATGTACATCTTAAACCACAAAAATCCATTTCGTCAATATCCCAAAATCATTTTTCGAATTTCACTTTATTATCATGGGTGCGGTGTGTAACTATTTATATCATGCGTTTTAAATTTTTTTCGCTTCATTCTTCACATATTATACCATATAGTACTCGCTGGTTACTGGGTGGCAAGAGCTTTTAAATGATTTTTAGCCCAGCCCTAGTCCGCCATCTTGTCTTCGCCTTTTCCCCTTTTGTGCTTGGTAACGCTCGCATGCGCATTTTTTCGACACAAATGAAATGTACATCTATTAGTACGTCTACTATGTTCCGTGTCACGTATGTTCTGTTGCCGAATCCGCTGAAAATCAGCGTCATATTACTTTAAGTGAGACGACAACAAGCTGAGTGGGTCACTGTTTCCTTGGCAGCACAGCACACACGCTTTGTACTCTGTATTTGTATTTAGTCCCAAATCCTTATGTTATTATTATAAAACGTATCTGTAGTGTGTTTATTATTCGAGGAATTAATGATTTCTATTTAAACGCCAGCTTCAATTTAACTGCCTCCGTGGCCGAATAGTTACCATGCCGGACTACCACGCAGAGGTCCCAGGTTCGATTCCCGGGCCGCGAGAAATATTTGTAAGGCCTACATTTACTTCTCCCGTGAGTTTTGGTATAATTTGTGGTTGTCTATGTATATGTCCATGGCATCCGCGACACATGGTTTCCCCTAGTGCGGGGCTATGTTGAGTGTCTACGTTTTAATCGAAATGTTTGTACCCAGAGTGGTCGTCCAAGCCGATGGCCAAATCCGGACAGGCTTCGACGTGATGGTCGCAGCCCTCCTCGGTGCCGACGAGTTCGGCTTCAGCACAGCCCCGCTCATTGCCCTGGGCTGCACCATGATGCGCAAGTGCCACCTCAACACGTGTCCCGTGGGCATCGCCACGCAGGATCCGGTCTTGAGGGCCAAGTTCGCCGGCAAGCCGGAACATGTCGTCAACTACCTATTTATGTTGGCTGAAGAGGTTTGTAAGCAATAATAAGTATCATATAGTGAATTCTTTGTGAAAGAGTTCGTCCAGGGAAGTTCTGGTTATGAAGGGTAAGGGTGCTGGTGAAATTACAGGCACATGAGGTCTCGTCAACTTATGTCTCAGGGTGACGGGCGCAGTGGCAGTGCCCCGCACGATCTTTGCGATTTAAAACTCTGAGTGGCACTGCAACTGTTATGGATAGCCATATCGCTTACCACCATTGGAAAACATCGTAATAATATTTGGTATGATTTTCTTTTAAAGTGTATGCAATTTTGTGACGAATTAGATATTCGAAATTTTATTATTCATAACCGAGTTCAGGCAAGTTTTTTAGAACATGGGATTCTCGATTTAGTGATTTACATATTGAGCTGTAGCTATATCAATCTGGTCATCATGTTATCTATACCGTTACTGAACGAAAAATTATACTTTTGGGAAATGGCCATTGAAGTTTCTGAAGTTAACTTTTAATTTGAAAAAGTGTGAGTTCCCTAAAAGGAAGACAATATTAATGTAGAATGTTTGCTTGCGAAAGTTGAGTAACTTCATAGGCCTGATTCAACCACGGTAAAAATATTACGACAGTAAGTGAGGAGAAGGGCTGTAATAGTAGAACATTTAACTGGCAGGTTAATATATATTGAATATTATTACAGGTTCGCCAGCACATGGCAGAAGTGGGCGTACGCAAATTCCAAGATTTGATTGGTCGCACAGACTTGCTGAAAGTGCGAGAGAACAATGATAACCCTAAGGCACGCCTTCTCAACCTCAGTCTCATATTGAAGAACGCTCTGCACATGCGGCCTGGAGTCAACATCATCGGCGGTTCTAAGTCACAGGTCTATTTTCTAAATTACATTTTTGAATCTTTTATATTCATATAAAAGTCCTTGTTTTATTTAATGGCTACTGCCCCCGTAGTAAGCCGCCTCGGTAAAGCTATTATATCCACATTTAGCTGTCAAATTTGAGTGATAAACGGCGTTTTAAAATTTTATCACAGTAGCGAACATGGCGAGCACCGTAACGTTAAGTTTTTATGTCAAATCGATTGTTATAAAAAATCTAATCGGAATCGCATTAGGACATCACTAATTGATTAGAATTCGAACTGTCTAAAATTAAATGAAAGGTTGGACGGAGTACATGCCATCGACTCGGCATTGAAGAGCAAAATACCAAAAAAGTGATTTGGCAGTTGAATAGTAGTTCGATGACTAGGCACTGACGAGTGACTATTCCAATAATAAATAAACACTCTATCGACACAACTGAAATGATTTAACATTAGCAGAATTAGGGCTCTGGCAAAAGCAAATCATAAGATTTCCTCTCACATACCCCGTAAACCATTGGATCTCCCAATTATTGAAGAGTGCTAATCATAAGTGACGAAACTCGCTTCTATGTCACTCTTTCACTCTGTTTTTAAAATGATACTACCTATGCAATCGCACTTATAGAATAACTGAACCAGAACATCTGCTTTGTAGTTTTATTACCATAAAATATCCGCCATCCCCTTTCTATGATCGAGGGACTAGACGACGGCTGGATTTGCACCCCTAAAATTTGGATATACTCAAGATTCGTACGAAGCGATACGCTTTCACATTTATATAGCGTACGACATTGGAATGGAATTAGCTGTCTGCAGATCTCTTAACGCTATACTTTGGGCCTTTTCAAGGCGTAAGTGAGATGGTCAAATGTGCATTTATTTTAATCCTTAACAAAAATTTACCAGCACAAGCTATCTTTCAAACTACTTAACAAAAAGGATAGAATCTCAACAATTTCGCCTCCTCAGGACTTCCAACTGGAAAAACGACTTGACAACCAGCTGATCGAGCAGTGTGCTGGCATCCTAGACGGAACGCAAAAGCACATCGACATCAAGATGAAGATCACCAACGAAGACAGAGCTTTTACTTCCACTCTGTCTTACCATGTTGCTATGTGAGTACTTCACAAGAATGACTTGGCTTGTAAATAATCCTTCTTGATTTTTATTAACGGATATCTAGTTCATTAAAACATAATATACCAACAACGCACTTGTTAAAGTTATTATTAAACTGTTACTATGCTGGTCTGCCAGGCAGAGGTGCCGGGTTTGATTCCCGGAAATATTTGTATGGCCTACATTTTATTTCTTTCGTGAGTTTGTGTGTAGTTTGTGGTTGGCTATGTGTATGTCCATGGCACCCGCGGCACTACGTTTCCCTAGTGTTGAATTAAATTAACATCTGTATTTGAATCGGGATCGGAATTAAAATTTTATTTGGATAAGAAGTTTGAAGTTGAAGTGGATAATAATAAGTTCCGTCGCATTGACTTATAATTTTGATTTATGAAACTGATGCATTTATTTTGATTTTAAGACTTAAGATTTTTGGTAACTGTGTTAAACTGCCCCAATAATTACGGAAGTGAAAGATTATATTGAAAAGATTTTAAGACTTTCGTGGTAATTCAGTAAATGATTACCACAAATTACAGGTTTCTTACCACGATGTGATTTGTTTTTTAATTTTCTCGATATTTCCGAACGGTTACACGGTAAAAGGAAATCGTGGCAAGAAATCTGTAATTAGTCATAATCATGTATGTTAAAAAGGTCCACAGGCCCTAGGCAATGAGATCCATCGCTCCATTCAACATAAAAGTTTATGTGACTGTGATTACATCTACACATGTAATTATAAGCTCTCTGTGATGTGTTCATAAACCGCATGTTACGACTGGCGAATGGCGGCAAATAAAAACTTTTCTCACGCATGTCACAGAACCGTAGTTTTTATTTTTAATTCATGGACAAACTAGAATCGGCCCCAACTATCAGATCGTTCGATATCATTGACATTACTGACATACTATTGACATTTCATTTCGAATGAAACTTCATCTCGACTGATATTAGAATTGAGGTCCAATCAAATTGTTTTGTTTTTAGAAATGTTCGAAATTTGAATGCAATAATAACATCGATAATAATAACGTCGAATTCGATGTTATTATGAAGCAATAATAACATTTTCACAGATAAGAAATTTGTTCTAACAAAACTGTTTTCCTTTATGCTGGTCGTAATTTGCGGTTTTTGAATAAATTATAGAGAGTTTATGATATGTGTGTAGATAAAAAATATTTATAAATGCCAGCAGTGCGACATAATAGGTTAAAAAAAGAATAATTGGCTATATCTACACGTGTTGATTTTAATTTAAAATATTTTAAATTTAGACAGTAACTTTGAGGTTTGCTTGCAACTTAACGGTCGTGAAACCAAAAATCAAATGAAATAAAAAATGAAATTATTGTTTCGGATTTAAATTGCATATATTTGTATTTTACAACTATACAAAAATACAAAAATAACTTATATATAAATAATATTTATATATAAGTATACATATTTTGCCACACAACGTACAGTCAGACGTGATCATGGGACCTGTAAAGGGACCGAAACATTGGGTTTGTTTTGAGAAAAAAAAATACGTGATTTAGATCTGAAAAAATTATTTCACTTCTATGTGTAACAATTACGAAAACCTAAGAAACTCAAATGAAATATTTTTCTACAAAAAAAAAAAAAGTTTTGATAAGCAGTTGCCTGCTTAGTCTCTAGGTTAATCCGGTTTTGAGTCTCTCTCTTTATTAAAAAGGAAATACGGTGACCTTGGTCTGCCCGACGGCACAACCGTGAACATCGCTCTCACTGGCTCTGCTGGGCAGAGCTTCTGCGCGTTCCTGTCCAAGGGAATCACTGTTACCCTCGAAGGAGACGCTAACGACTACGTTGGTAAGAAGTACACAATGATATTAATAATAATGGGATATGGGAATTGGAATAAATGGGACTCGTCTCAGGGCGACAGACGCAGTGGCAGTGCCCCTAAGATACGATTTAAAGCTCTGAGTGGCACAGCAACTGTTATGGATGGGCGTGTCGCTTACCACCAGGCGCACGACTTGTTCGTCCCGTTATTTTTGTTGAGTTTAAAAAAGCCTGATATCAACCAAGTTTTTATGCCACTACCCACGGCCCTGCGGCAGTCTCATCCAGGTACACCTCGCGACGCTTGCGATGTCGTCTACCCATTTCGCCACTGGACACCCGACAATCTTGTACCCAATCCTTGGACGCACTCCCACTCCACTCCGTAACAACTACCTATACCATAAGCTAATGATATAGGTACAGTTTCTTTGCCATGGGCTAAGAGTGACTGTTGTCAAAATTTCTACAAAATTTTGTGTGACGAGTTAGTTGTACATCGACTCTAACAGACGCAAGACGAAGTAACATTTTGTATGCAAATATTTTACGCGGTCGCTAATGCTAACTGTCACTATGAACTGACATTTGTTTCTTATGGTTTTAACTACTTTTGTACCTTTTTTTTGTAAAATAGAGGCACGATTGACCACAACTAAGCGACAAACTATCATAATTTTCAGGCAAGGGCCTGTGCGGTGGCAAAGTGATCATCTACCCACCGAAAACATCCTCGTTCGAGTCGCACCTCAACGTGATAGTTGGAAACGTGTGCTTGTATGGAGCCACCTCTGGACGAGCTTATTTCAGGTAAAGAATTTATCTTGAATATAGTACCCCGGTGTTTCGCATTTATTACATATTAAACAAGGTTATATGTGAAATCGTATTAAACTTCTGGTCTCCAAAATCCAATATGGATTTTCAAATTGCAAACATACAAGGTGACCATTAAAAAACTACAAGATTTTTAGAAAGTTATTTTAAACATCAATGTAAGCATTATTATTATGTCGCTTTTATACATATCGCACATGACACAACAACGTAGTATTCTCTCAAAAATTGAGTTATTCGTATAAGATTTAATTATGAATACTAATGACGTGCATATATAACGTAATTTTTGAGATTATACTATGTTAGTTGTCATGTGCGATATATTGAAGAGCGGAGGTATTCGTATTGAGGATTACTCTGTATGCATTACATTTGTATTAGACTCGTTTGTCCCATGGCCTAAAAGATAAAAAAAATAATTATTAAGTGGTGTTCCCTGGCATGTCAATATAGTCATCCCAGGTCATTATTATTATGGAGATATTTGTCGCACGTTATTCTAAACGGTTTTTAACAAAGGCTTTAAAATGTTCGCTAAATTTAGGAAGCAATCTGTTCCCCCGCAGAGGCATCGCGTCCGAACGCTTCTGCGTGCGCAACTCAGGCTGCACGGCCGTGGTGGAAGGCGTGGGCGACCACGGCTGCGAGTACATGACAGCCGGCACTGTGCTCATCCTCGGCCTAACTGGACGCAACTTCGCCGCCGGCATGAGCGGTAAGTAGCTTGTGCCCGCATTTTGTATGAAACATGAAATTGATAAATACTTCCTGTCCCGCTTAGGGTCGAAACACAAAACTGCAGAAATTTATGAGTTGGCATCATTGACTTACAAATAAATAGACGACGGGTCTAATACAAAAACCACGAAAAAAATGTCCCAAGTCAACCTATTCGAAATTTAAATTGTAATGTCATCGCAGTATCGCGCTGTCAGTCGAACAAATGAAGACTAAAGCGTAGTTTGGCGCTCTGTATACGATTTTAGCGCCTTACAAGTGCGGACACTTTTTAGCGCGGACCCGACGTCCATATAATTGTAAGTCAATAGTTGGCATCGCAATAATTTGCGGATTGCTTCGCATCGAGAATTTCTGCGATGTCAATCTTCTTTGTGTTTTTTTCCTGTACTTTCTTATTTATTTTATTATTATTTTTTATTTAAGGAAACAAACAGTCATCAACAGATAGGTTATTACCTGTAAAAATCAAAATTGATATACATACAGACCTAGAGTTCCATTAACAAAAACTAAAATAAAATAATGAGCGAAACAACATCACAAGCAAAAAAAGAAGAAGAATATTATAAAAAATAAGAAAAATTCAAACCGTAAATAATTAATGCTACTTAATTACATATACAAGTACACTAAATTTGTACTAAATAATTATTTATTTATATAATTATATCACTAGATTTTTGTTGTTAAAATAAAGCTTCTCTTAACCTTACCCTATAACCTTGTGAAGAAATGCCAAATATGTCTATATGACTTCAATTTTCATTATAAAAATCCAAAGAGCGCCTAAAGAAACCATTTCTGTGGGAGTTTGTCCTACTGAGTTTACAACAGAAAATAGCTTTAAAGCGCAAGGTGATGCGAGAGGGATCTTTAGGGCCAATTTTTTGTAAAAGATCTGGTGAATCGATGTAATTGTTTAATAATTTTCTTATCAATAACAGCAGTGCAACACTCTTTTTACGATCCATATCGCTACCTAGTTTAAAAAATACGTTCAGTCGAAGAAATGGTTACTCGAACCGTTGCAGTGAGATCGCATAGCAGCAATTCGCGTCGCGCCGATTCGCAGTTTTGTGACTCATATGCATGCATATAAGCTCACGATGTGTTTTTGCTTTTCCTAAATTTTCTTCCCACCGTACGCTGCTCGCTCGTGAAATATATTGAAGCGCCACCTAGTCCCAGAATATTGAACTATGTTGTCTGCTGTAATTTCAATTCTCATATGTGCACAAGGTCGCTTTGAATTGAATTTAGAGCCTATGCACATGGCTATTTTATACGCGCCACAGACAAATTGTAGTCGCGCATTGTCATAAAATATAGTTTTAATTTTAGTTTTGTTTGTTAATTTCAATTAGTTTTTGAACTAAAGCAACTATATGAAATTCTAAATGTAAACTCCAGTGGAGTTAAGCTTGTTGCTTGCAACGCGTTGTTTGCGCGCGTTTGAATCGATTCACTACAGCGCGTCTGCGGCGTGTATACGCGCAGATGACGCACGTTTACGGCTCCGTAAACGCGCGTTCGGGAAATTATACAATATATACAATACGCCGTGTGCATAGGCTCTTGCGTGTACGGTGTCGGGCATAAGACTTCATCTACCTCGACTTAAACCTTAATGCAACACATTGTCAGTAACTTTGGGAGCCAAGGCGCTCAACCGCCTAAAGCGTCTGCCTTATGCAGTGTAAACTACCTCATACACATAATTTTTATATTGTATTTCAGGCGGTATCGCGTACGTGTACGACATCGACGGATCGTTCAAAGGCAAGTGCAACACTGAGATGGTGGAACTCCTGCCGCTTAAGCAAAATGACGATCTTAACGTCGTCAAAACTCTATTGAAAGAATTCGTCGACTACACTGGGTAAGACTACACGAATTAAATAAAGCATCATACACACTCTGTCAAATGTACTTTCATCGGGTACTTGTATCAGAAATTTTTTATTGCTTGTTTTTTACGAACTTGCGTAGAGACAAATGAAAAGCCTTCTTAACAACGACATCTCAAAAGTAACTAATTTGTCAAAACGATGCGATGGTTGAAAAACAAGGATGCATTTCGTATTTACGTTCCCCATGTTGTCACCTGATTATTTTAAACATAAAAACTCTATGTCAAGTGAAATATTCCTTTGTTCGGACGTGCTAAGAGCTACGTGGCAGTGATTTGAACTTAATTTGTAGCTTACACTGCTTAAGAAAACTGAAGTGTAGGTATGGAAGTTAATTACTAAAAATACACTGATAATATTCTAATAATTTTTTCATCGCGCTCTCTCAGAGATATTGTCTGTTTGAGAGCTTTAAGTAACCAGTAACCGCCTAGAGTACTTAGCAAAAATCTTTCCTTTTTTGAAATAGTTCCCTGATCGCACAAGATCTTCTAAAAACCTGGCCGACACCAGCTAAGAATTTCATCAAAGTGTTCCCGTTCGAATACCAGCGAGCCTTAAAGACTCTCGCCTTGAAGCAACCCGCCGCTCCAAAGATGGAGACCAACGGCAAGGGTGACAATGGCGTACAGGACATTGAGGAAGCTGTCAGAGATATCGAACTGGATAAAAAGAACTTGGAGAAGATTCTTGATAAGACTCAGTAAGTATTTAACCACTTCATTTTTTTTTAAAGCGTTATTTGACTGCCTCCGTGGCCGATCGGTTACCTTGCTGGTCTGCCCCGCAGAGGTCATGAATTTAGGTATAATTAGATTAGGTGATTGTCTATGTGTCCATGGCATCGCGGTACAGGGTGTCTCTACTGGGGGGCTTATGAGTGTGTGCGCGTTATTATTATAATTTCATTTCTTTACATAGATATTAATTGGACGTAGTTAAGCAAAGAGGATCCAATCCACAAAATTCTCAAAAAATTAGTTATATATGTACCAAACAGTTCCTAAAGTCTAACCTCTTAGATCAGCAAAAAAATCCAACATATAAACATAAATAAATATCTGTGGAGTTGTGACAAGCATGACATTATAAGTTTTGAAAAAAGAGTGAGAAACACTTTTTAACTTTTAAACTGCCATATCTCGAAAGTGACTGGATGTGCATTCGATCCTTTTTGTTTAACTACGTCCAATTAAAATGTTAAAATAGAAATTACATTGACTTTCGTCATCTTATTGTATCGATTGCATATACAATATTGCCTGCTGTCTTGGTGAAAGGATTTGTCAATCGGCGATTGTGGCCCAGGGTGCGCCAGACATGCAGGAAAGGAATGAAAGTGGAGAATGGAGGCTCCATTCCTGCACCCCTGACTTTCGACTGCGATTAAAGTTAATGCGATTTCCAGAAAGCTTCACCGAGTAAACAAAACATGTGACCATAAGTTATTGAACTTCAGGGCTAGTCAAATATAAGTGTACCTTACTTGTTATACAAAAAGATGAGACTTCCAAAATCTTCTTGAGATGCTTCTAATAGGATGGTAATATTTTGAAATACGAGTTGAATGTATTTTATCGGAGTCCGAAACGGACAGAAATGATGATCGTTACATCGCATCGGTAGTAAATACTTTTTTCAACGAATTCATAATTAAATTGTTCTTCCTAAACATAATCCATAATAATTAAGATTTCGTGTGAAATCTATGAAAAGAAATATTTTAATGCGTCATATTAAGTCTTACAATAAAGTGTTTTGTTATAGAATAGAATAGACATTTATTGCAACGCCACAACACATTGATACAAACAAACAAAAAATAGTGACACTTAGTCAAGCAAAGCAAAATTAAAAGAATTTATAAACGAAATAAAAAACAAACACTACAAATTGTACTGTCATTTGTGCAGTTGCGGCGTACACATAAGGACTTCGTTCAGCTTAAGCCACATCCATAATTGACTGTGGCGCTTGCTTTCAATGACGATTTATGATGTTCAGAATAAGCCTCTAATTTTTTTAAATTAAATTTATGCTTAACTCGACAGTGGCTTCATAAAGTACCCTCGCGAAACATCAATGTATCGACCTGCTGAAAAACGCCTCCGCGACTGGGACGAGATATACAACTTCAATCACGTACGACGTGGGCTGCGGGTGCAGGCGGCCAGGTGCATGGAGTGCGGGGTGCCTTTCTGCCAGAGCGGACATGGATGCCCTCTGGGAAATATCATACCGAAGTGGAATGACTTGATCTATAGGGGAGATTGGAAACAAGCTCTGCATCAGTTGTTGCAGACAAATAACTTCCCAGGTAAGCATATACAACACAATACAAATATTCTTTATTGAACAACGACAAATACAAAAAAATAAAAATGACAGGTACAACAGGCGGCCAAATAGCAATCTCTTCCAGGCAACTTTCTAAATACAGGAAAAACTGTAACATAAAATTAATTGAGGACGCAACAGAATACGTATTTAATACACGTATTGCACACACCCACAAGTGAAAAAAAAACTAAAAATAAAGTATTAATAATAAAATAGAAATATAATATGCATATAATTAGATAAATTGAAGTAGGATTATATAAAACACAACAGTAATAACAACACACAAAATTTAAAACAGGTAAGAATAAGAGAAAAGTATAATTATAGTATAAGAAAATGATCTTTAAGTAATGTTTTAAAAGATTCAACAGCGTGTCTGATCGATTCAGAAATTCCACAGTTTGATGCTTCTAACCTTGAAATTTCAAAGCCTTGGCATAAATGTAGCAAAAAAACAAAACTGAACATTCACACTTAAGACACACACTATTTATAAAACAAAATTGGGATTACAAAACAAAAACTAAATTACATAGTAGTTAAAATATAACCACAGATTAACATAAACATATACAAAGACTACTAAGTGCAATATTTTTATTTCCATTGAATATTATGATGTTCGATCCTTAGCTCAGTTTGCAGAGTGGTAGCCACGTTAAGGCGACAGACACAGGTTCGAGTCACATAGGGGCGGAAAGAATTTTTCTTTGTATGTGTTCGATCTTAGTTCGATCTATTAATAATAAAGAAACTTAATATGAAGATATGTAAAGAGAAAAGAGAACTCAGTATTTGCTGGAAAACGCAATGCATTCTTGTCAAAGTTGTACTTTCTGTATGACTGTAGACGTAGCAGTCGATTGACCCATATTCCCCGTGCGTCCTCAGAGTTCACGGGGCGCGTTTGCCCTGCGCCGTGTGAGGGCGCCTGCGTGCTGGGCATCTCCGAGCCGCCCGTCACCATCAAGAACATCGAGTGCGCCATCATCGACAACGCCTTCGAGAGCGACTGGATCAAGCCCGAGGTACAATTTGCCCTTTTTGCTCACTTGCCAAAATCATGCTGTTTCTTTTGACAAGCAATGAATAAAACTTAGAAGATATGGAATACTCTGAAACTACCTTAGAAATCCAGACTACCTGGGGGTCTACTTCCGTTTTCCATCCAACATCTATCCGAAACAATTACTGTTAAATAAGTAATAATCGACCAAATAAAAAAGCGATGTCAAGTATGAAGCTTTATTCGCGTCATGGGTTTGGTAATTTGGTCGAGTATTACTAATTTGACGGTAATTGTTTCGGACGGATGTCGAACGAAGAATCTATTAAAGAATGTTTGCTTATCGAGTTCTTCGCGATTCGCGATTGTTACACATCGGGAAACTATTTTTTCCGTTGTAACGTTTGCTTACTGCCTCTGTGGCCGAACGGTTACCATGCCGGACTGCCACGCAGAGGTCCCAGGTTAGGTTCCCGGGCCGAGAGAAATGTTTGTATGGCTTACATTTATTTCTCCCGTGAGTTTGGGTGTAATTTGTGGTTGTCTATGTGTGTGTCCCTGTCACCCGCGACACAGGGTTTCCCTAGTGCGGGGCTATGTTGAGTGTGTGCATTATTTACTATTTACAAAAATTTAAACGACTAAACGCGAGAATATAACTCGGTATCTCTTAACATGAATACTTATATCATGAACCAATACCCTTAGAACTACGAATCTCAGTGGTACATATCGTAACTCTGAAAAAGGTCAAAATTCGTTCTTATATCTAGATGACTCGAAGTAGTTCTTCAAATATTGATCTTGAAGTAAAATTATTTTCTGAATTTTGACAAATATGCTTGTCAATACATGGCATTCTGTGTTCTAAAATAAATTATGAATTAACGCTTCCTAATATGAGTAGATGGCGGGGCACTATCCCATCGAGTATATTTCCAGAAGTAGAGACCAAATAAGGGCCATACATTCCCGGTAACACATCAGTGATACATCACTTGTAATTATCAACTCTCGTTTGCATAGTGGAACCGCCAACAACTGACCTGCGTGTACGTCTCCGTATATTCCAAAAATATTCTGTATTTTTTCTAATAAAGATAATATCTCTAACAATGGCGTGCTGTTCCATTCGCTGGTGTGGGGAAAAACAGCAAAGCGTCTAATTACAGAACAAACGGAATCAAATTTTATCGGTAATTAAATATTAAATATGTAATTTTGCAATTTTCGTCCATTATAGCAAAGCTCAAGTTAACTGGTCGATTTGAAGCGAAACAATTGACACCCATTGACGACACCCTTCAATTGTTTCGAATTCGGGCTGGCCAATCGGAGTGCAGTTGTCACAGTAATGATATGGGAGAATAGTTTTCAAACAAATTAAATGACATTTCGTCTCTATTTCTGGTTATATACTCGATGCACTATCCATAAAAATCTGTTCAATTAGCGCCATCTATCAATGTTATCGCTAGAAATCAGAGTAGCTTTGATAAATTGCAGTTCGTCAATGTAAAACAACAACGTCGCGACATCTGGTGTACTAACAGGTACTAAATACCCAACTACGCTGTCTTGTATCGCGATTAACAGTCCTTGACCTATTGCTCCATGCTTATACTAAAGTCACTAAACCTTTTCAATTTTTAAACTTACAGATTCCAGAACATCGCAACGGTAAAACCGTAGCTGTCGTCGGATCAGGACCTGCAGGTTTGGCCTGCGCTCATCAGCTCAACAAGGTATTTTTTTAAATTATCCATATCGATTTGTTTTTTCCAGTTCAATTATCTAGGCACGCGTACTGTTTATACACGGTTTTTATTTTTTATACTCTACCTGTATCATGTAGAGTATGTATTTTCATTCTGCCTCAGGCCGGCTACACGGTAACGGTGTTCGAACGCAACGACCGTCCGGGCGGGCTACTCCAATACGGCATTCCAACTATGAAACTCGGCAAAGACGTGGTCGCGCGACGCATCAAACTGATGGAGGCTGAAGGCATCTCTTTCAAGTGCAACATTGATGTCGGAAAGGATATTTCCGCTACTGATTTGGCTAACGAGTGAGTAATTTGTTTGTATATAGAGTTTTACTTAGTACTTGCAAAACTAAAAACTTTTATCTGAGCCCTTTCATAAGATCTCTTACCAATCTACGTTTCCATACATTTCAATAGAGTAAGTTTTTTTGGCTGAGCGCTTTCCCAAAATATAGTGGCAATCAAACTACATGGGACCGTTGCTTTTCATTTAATGCAGATGTTTATTTTTTTACGTCAAGTAGGATAGGGTAATTGCCATGATTGTTGCTAGCCCTTTATTTATTTGTGATAACGTACCTCTGTAATTTTCAAAGCACTTTCTAAGCGTCAAATGCACATAATGTTTGATTTTAGTTCGTCACGGCTTTGAGCTTTATTGACATATACACGGCACACGGCACTTAACTTTTAACTTCATTCACCTCACAAAATAAAATCACGACGTGTAATCTGGGAGGCCAAGGTACAGGTCCGCGGCAGCCTATCCATGAGTCTTCGTAGTCACTCGTTAAAATTTGTGGCACACCGCATTTCATCTTCTACTTCTACGAGTATTCACTGCATGCCAACTCCGCGCGTTTGAATTGATAACGTAAACTAGCCCTTGTGGAGAATTCGTTGGTTGAAATTGCGCTTCGTTGAGGAAACTCGCTCTCCATCTCGTACAGTAGAGCTTCAAGACTCCAACCACTTTCGATAAAATACCAATCTCTCGTAATACTCCCGATGAGAATACATTGTTACCCAATGAAACACGTTCACTGGGTACAAGGAAACGACGACTACCAAGTATGCGCCCGCGTCGTCGCGCCAGACACGATGGCACCAGACACGCCGGCACCAGTCGCTCGAGTTTTATTTATCATTTTGAGGAAACCACGCTTTAAAAATTATTAGGAAATTTTGAAATTTTAAAACGCAAGAAATGGGGATTTTTACAATTTTATTTCACTAATGTGTTGTATTATTGAATCTTATGCACAGAAAAAAAAATGGACAGTGATTTTTATGTTAGAGCACGTCACATACGCATTATGGAAATCGGAAACAAGGACGGTACCACAAACACCCAAATTCTAAACAACATAGGAAAGTTAGTTTTTCTACATTGACCCGGCCGGGAATCGAACCCGGGATCCCAGAGATAACGACTTCATGAAAACAGGTACGCAAGCCACTCAACCACGGAGATCGTCCAAGGAATTGGTAACTTCGTAATCAAACATGTATTTCAATTTTTTTTTTCAGGTACAACGCCTTAGTCTTATGCATGGGCGCGACCTGGCCTCGCGACTTAAACCTCAAGGGTCGGCAACTGAACGGCATCCACTTTGCTATGGAGTTTCTCGAGAACTGGCAGAAGAAGCAGATGGGTCCCACGCACCATCATCAGAATAAGGACAACCCTGAACTCAGCGCGAAGGATAAAAACGTGCTTATTATTGGTGGAGGTGATACGGGGTGAGCTTATTTAGATATTTTTTTTAGAACTGGGACAAAGTCTCGCTCTTCTCATGGCATCAAACGTTGTTTCATAGAGCCATCCCCTCACAATGCGGTGCGACGTCACGCTTATGTTTATGTGAAATTGCATTTATGTGGGTGTGTGTGCGTGTGTGTATGTGTGCGTGCGTGCGTGCTTAATTTAGAGGCAGATGTTTCCTTTTACCCTTGACTGGTCCTATATTACCATTGCCCGTAGTTTGTGATGTGTGTTGAAATTATATATTTTAATTATAATAATATTTGTTATGACAGTTGCGACTGCATAGCGACGTCGCTGCGACAAGGCGCCAAGTCGATCACCACCTTCGAGATCCTACCCGAACCAAAACCGACTCGAGGACAAGACAACCCATGGCCCCAATGGCCTAGGGTCTTCAGGTACTTAATTACATCATCCTCCTGACGAGTAATTATTACAATTATTATAGTCCATTTCAACAGGGCTGAGTTCTGTGACACTTCTAATTTTTACGTTTCAACGCATACGATTTATAAATAATCTTTCACCCAGGTTACAAAAATAAATAATAAATTTGTTATAATGTACCAAAATCGAACAATATTTGTTGTACATGTAATTTTAAGTAAAAATTTGTGGTATATTATGTAGATAGAAAATGAAATAATAAATATAAAAATAAATTACCCCAACTGTTTAATGCGTATACGGATTATTTATCCTTAGAGATTTACACGATAGAATCGATAAATCAAGTTGGCTTTTTATAACTCGCGTTAATACGAGGCATTTACATACCTTGTTAGCGGGTTTATTTTGTTTTTAGCTTTGCGTTGGAGTAATTGTGCAAATTCCGTTTCATTGCTGTTGATTGTATGCTTTATTGTTGACTTTTTGTATGGTTGTGTAGTTTTTAAGGATAGACACAACAAAACGAAATATTTATCCATAGATATTAGTCAGTTAGTTTATTTCTCTCAACATTACAAATTTCTTACAAATACAATTACAAGTCATTTTATATTTCTATTCGAAAAGTGAGCGTCAGTTTACAAAATAATGAAGAAGTAGTTATATAATAGTAAGTCATAAGTACACAATAGTGTACATAAACAAAATCGAACATAATTAAATTAAACTAATAAATAATTGAATTAAACTAACAATGTCAAGTGTATACAGAAAATGTCGATATGGATTCTTAATAACTAATAAATGTATATTACAAATAATAGTCAAATTCATTAATAAATATAATAATTTATTAAGTACTTTGAATGTGCTCTGTTACTGAGTAAAGGGACTTTTCCAATAAAAGGTTCTTCAATCTGTATCTGAACGTCGCATCACAACATTCGTTTTTTAGTTCGGCAGGTAGGTGCTCATAATAGATCGGTACTATAACCTGCGGGTTTTTTTCGTGAAGTGCAGTGCGCCGCGGTACTGATCGGGGTTGTCCCGCACGACCGAGGCACCCACTCATCACCTCCACTCGCCCAAACTGTGCTATGTGTTTCCGCGTGAACATAATGACCTCAAAAACATATTGCGAGTAGTGGGTCATTATTCGGTGTACACCAAACAGCGCCTTGCAGGATTGCCATTTTTCACAAGTTTTTTTTTTTCATTTACATCATTACTTTGTTCATTAGTTGTTCTTAAATTATTTTCTGTAAATCGATTCCCTCTTCGTTACAAATTATCTCGATAAGATATTTAAATCGATTTTTTTCATACGAATTTACATTACTACATCTCTACAAACTTCAAATTTCAAACGTCACCGGATACACCCATATTGAAATGGACTAATATTTGCAAATTGTTGAGATATACGGTTCCGGTTTTTCACAGGACATTGGCGCAATCGCCATTTTTTTTGTATAATTTTTATTATAATATTAAACTACCGTACATAGTTATTTTTACTTGACATTGGCAAAATCATTGATTATTTCGATGGAGCCATAACATTTAAAAGAAGAAGAAGAAGAAGAGATATACGGTAAATAATCTAACAGTTATTCATAAAATATAATTTCACGGAATAATAAAATTACAATATATTTGATTATTTGTCTACCGCAGTCGTGGAAGGTAGATATCGTTGTCCTGCAGCAGTACAGCAATCAATTTTAAACAAATCAAGTTTCTCAATCTGTTACTGTTTGAAACCTTTATACGGTTTACTGCTGGGCGTGGCTCCTGTAAGGAGAAGATTTTGTTTCTCACGATCTTTTCCTTTACTATTACCACGAGTGATTAAACTACAAACAATTCGAAAAGGCCCAGTGTCGTGAATGTCATATGTCTCCTCTAGAAGAGATTTATTTCTTCACCACTGTTCTTGGTGATAATTAGCAAATTGAACCTACGTATAATTCGAAAAGTGTCAGTGGTGCGAATCTTCTATCTACATTGCACTCCAGGAGACCAAAGGGCTTAGTACAAAGATTAGCATCGACCAATAAAAGGTTCCGTACCAGAGTGATTAGACGACGCGTGGCTAAGGTGTCATATTATATAAGAGCTATATAAGTAAATACAAGATTTTGGAGTAAATAATAATTAAGATGTCTGTTTTAGGGATTTACTAAAGTGCATAATTTTAGAATATAAAAATTTTGTCTTAATGACATTTGTAATCTTTCGAAATATACTTAAAATCTTTAAAATTTTTATCCTACTAAGCTATAAAGGATGTTACTAAAATCAATAGAATTTTAAAGTGTGGAATTGGTTAGAACTGGAATAATACAATTAGTTTTGGCTTCAAAAACCATGAGCCTATAACTCAAGATAACTACTAATCTCTATCCTAAAAATCGTAGCTTTGAAAAAGGTCAGAATTGTAGGAAATGAAACTATTTTTCCGGATTTAAATCGCGTATATTTGTTTTTTCAAACAAACCGATGTTTCGTACCACCTCAGTCAACCGTGACCATGGGACCTGTAAAGGGTCCGAAACGTCGGTTTGTTTGAAAAAACAAATATACGCGATTTAAATCCGGAAAAATAGTTTCATTTCCTATGTGTAACAATCGCGAAAACCTAAGAACTCGATAAGGTCAGAATTCCTTCTTATATTTAGATGACGCTGGTCAATAGCCTGGAAGTAATTTATATTGTGTAAATGGCCGTGGATATCAATCAATTCCTCTTTAATATGAAATATAAGAAGTCAGTTTTTTTCTTTGTAATATTATTCAAATATTGATCGAGAGTTAAAATTATTTTCTAAACTTTGACAAATATGCGTGTCAATAAATGGCATTGTGTGTTACAAACTAATTTATAAATTAACGCCTCCTAATATGGTTAGATGGCGATAATTATAATAAAATAAAAGAATAGACGGCACAATCCATAAAAACATGTGCTAAGCGCCATCTAGTTGTTTTGTTTGTTATCACTACATATTAGAGTAGCTTTGATAAATTGCAGCTTGTCAAAGTAAAACAAATTATAGTTTTAAAAATATTTCGTACTCGTCGCGACATCTAGTGTACCACTGAGTACTAAATACCAAAATACGCTGTCTTGTATCGATTGATTAGCAGTCCTCTTTGAGTTATTAATCCATTACAATACGAAACAAAATAAAACTTCAAGTTTTCAATCCACGTAACACAAACGTTATCGAACGAATAGAGGTAACTTTGTATTTCTGCCGTCCCTGAAACGCGGCTAGTGACAAATGGTCCAATATCCGTTTTAAATAGCAAAAAATAGATCACAAGATTCTTTTTTAAAACAGTTAAAATTAGTTAAGGTGTTTGACTCATCGGAACTTACCCTAACGATGCATAGCTGAAATATCTGTAAACAATTGCAATATTCTAAAACGGAGTTATGGTTTTTTTATGATATCTCAAAAAAATATTTCGTCTTACAGAATCCAAAGTGGAATAAAGTAGTATGCGAATTTATTGTGTAACATTAATTTTATGTTTCGTTAGAGTGGACTATGGACACGAAGAGGTGAAAGTGAAATTCGGAAACGATCCTCGCAAGTTTTCTACGCTTACCAAGGAATTCTTGGATGACGGTAAGTCTTAGAATCCCATCTGCTGTCTATTTATGTAAGAAAATACTTTTCAGGCTCAATTTATATTGCGGCGGAACGGTTTTTTTTATCTAAAATAAGTGCGCATTTGACGTCCATCTCACCTGATGAAAAGTGGTGATGAGGTCGACGATGTAGCATGCACACCTAAATCTGCCCTCAGAACGAAAAAGGGCATAACTGCTGTATAAAGTACGCACAGTTGTGCCTTTTTTCACTCTCGCCTTGAAAAGGTCCTAGTTATAGCGTTCGGGGAAGGGAAATACGTCCGCAGGCAGGGAATTTCCACTTTCTAGCCGATCGCCATCTAAATGTTCAAGTGAAACGCTTTGTTACGCTTGGGAATATCCACAACATAGGGGTGGAATCCCAGCCCACGTCTAGTCCCCCGATGATGGAAAGGGGAAGGCGGAATCTAATTATGAAATTCCATCGCACAATCTCCGTTATATATCCTGTAGAATAGAAGGTAATTTTTGTAACGCAACCATTCACTTCCATTCTGTTCATGCCAAAATCTTCATTCTCGAGAATGCTCGTGCATTCCGCGGAAGATTTTGGCTTGTATCTATTTTGTAACTTACACAATTGATCATACAAATCATTATGCTATCTTATTATTATATAATTCATTATGTTATGTACAATATCGTTACAAAAATTCTCTTCCATTCCGTTCCGTCGCAATATTCATTGAGCCATAAGTGACACATACTTGTATTCACAACCTGCACCCGCAATATAAAAATAATAAATATTTTTAATTCGGAATAAATACAAGACTTACATTATGATTATTGATTCGATAATCACTTAATAACTACAGAAGATGAAGATAGTATAGCCGCTGCGCTGACGATATATCGCTCTTATGGGGAAACAGACTATACTCCGGCCCACCATTTATTTAACGTTTGACAGCTCGAATTCTTAGTTATTAGTGACGTCCTAATGATTTTCATTATATTTTTATTCTATATATTACTTTCGATTTGATTTTTTATAAGAATCGATTTTATTTACGAAGTAGTTTTAATCGTGAATGTCAGATAGTGTCTGATTGGGGTCGTGACGTTGTGTTTGACAAGTTGTGTACTCAAGAATTAATAAATAATGTTACTGAGGATTTAAGTGTTGATTTCCGTTCATATGGAGAAGAGTCCGACGATTCATTGTAAAAAAAACATTTCATTATCATTTATTAGACAAGTACCAATATGCTGTCCGCTCGATAAATATCAGAGCTACAGAGCACGTCGCTTATCTATAGTAAAAAATAAATGCATCCATGTAAAATGTCAAAGTCATGACACTTGTAGGCATTATTATGTCGGAAGTAAAATAAATGATTCGACTGAGGTAAAAGAGAACGGATCTATGGCGTAAGGTAAAAGACAGTCTATAGTCCATTTGTTTAGGTACTTAACTAAATGTAAACAATCTTGATACATCTTTTTATTGAAACACATGCTTTACAAATCCATAGGTATAAAAATGGGCATGGAATTTCATATGAAGCTAAGTATTTGTATTTTGTATTTGAAGGTAAGGGAAAATCATTTTATAAATGTATATTTCATTGAATAGACATCTCAAGATTGTTTACATTTATTTAAGTACCTAAACAGATGGACTATAGTCGCATTTATATTTTGCCTTTCCGGCAGTGTTGCTGTCAAACTACTTTTGCCACTAATTCTCCGTCAAAAGATTTCATTGCAATCGAGGTATCTCTTACGTGCGTATATAGTGGCGCAGCATACTTCAATAGTTATTAATACGAAATTGTAAGCTAATCCGTGACTTCGAATCATATGACATCTTCCCAATCGAGGCAGGTTTTATTGAATGTTTTTATTTTGGTGCAGGCGAAGGTAACGTGCGCGGTGTGGCGGCAGTCGAGGTGGAATGGACACGCGGCGCTGGGGGACGTTGGGAGATGAAAGAAGTACCTGGCACCGAGAAGGTCTACGAAGCTGAGCTGGTGCTGCTGGCCATGGGCTTCTTAGGACCAGAGAAATACGTTGCCAACCAACTCAGTGAGTTCTTAAAGTCTTGGCAAAACGATGTCTGATTTTATACATTTATTGCCAGTAGAGCTCCTCGTGAAAGAGTTTGTCCAGGGAAATACTGCCACCTTACTTATTTCTGGTGAAATTACAGGCACTTGGGACTTGTAAACATATGTCTCAGGGTGACAGGCGCAGTGACAGTTTCCCTTAGATCTTTTTCATTTGACGCTCTGAGTGGCACTGCAACTGTTATGGACAGGAGTGTCGCTTACCATCAGGCGTACGGCCGTTCGTCCTGTCACTTGGTACCATAAAAAAAACACAAACCGTATTGCGAGATCGAGTCGCCGAATACCCGTGAACCATGAATTACGCTTATTTTATTAGCAGCCACTTTTACAATGAATTTCCATATGAACTAACACATGCCAATTAAAAGCTTCCACAAATGAACATAAGCAAAATAACACTACGAATACAAAAGCATCTATGAGAACGCAATAATCGTCATATAATTATAAATAATAATAATAATAAGCCCCGCACTAGGGAAACCCTGTGTCGCGGGTGCCATGTGCACACACGTCGACAACCACAAATTACACTTCAATTCACGTGAGAAATAAATTTAGGCCATACAAATATTTCTCCCGGTCCGGAAATCGAACCCGGGACAGAGGTCCCGCAGAGGCGTGACAGACCAGCATGGTTACCGTTCGCCTACGGAGGCAGTTATTCGATGTCAGTCTCGATAAGAAGTTTCTTTTTTTTATAATATCAACGACGGAACGAACAAGTCGTACGCCTGATGGTAAACTACACGCCTGTCCATAACAGTTGCAGTGCCCCTCAGAGCTTTAAATCTCAAAGATCTGAGAGGAGCTCTCAAAGCGCCCTTCACCCTGAAGACATAAGTTGACAAGTCCCATGTGCCTGTAATTTCACCAGCACCCTTACCCTTCAAAACTGGAACACTGGTGACATTACTGCTTGGCGGCAGAAATAGTTAAGGCGGCAGTATTTCCCTGGACGAACTTAAGTTATTAGTCATAAAAGTTATATTTCAACTGTGAGATCAAAAAGAGGGTGCACTAATATAATCATTATGTATCTTTCTTTTCAGATCTTGCCCAGGATGCCCGCAGCAACTTTGAAACGGAAAAAAACAATATCTACAAAACTCCAGTTACCAACGTATTCGCTGCCGGTGGTGCGTATTTTTGTTATTACTTGTGTTTTAGTCCATATGATAATAGTCATTAGGTATCGCACCCGCAATTACCACAAACCAGGCAACTCTCAATCTGTAATATTAGTGTACACTTATGTGCTCGTTTTTCTCTAATTTTGCAGTTGATGAAAAAAGTTAGCTGTAACTTTATAAAACTTTTCATCACACTTTCTCGTAAGTAGTAGTATAACGTGCTGCATACGGCCCTAGCGCGGTAATGGTTTTTTTTTATTTCTACGCTTTCAGCGCCTCATGTATAACGTTTGTAAGGCTAATTTTCTTTATTTAACTTCCTCGCAAGTGTGATTTATTTATTTATTGAAAGATACACCATCAACTTAAAACAAAACAATATTAGAAAAATGCTCACCATACAAGGTGTCTACAGGTGTATACAGTACTACAAATTTAGAGTTAACCAATGAAATACAAAGTTGTAAAATTACAGCGACAATTAATAATAAACTGCTTGGTGTATTCGTATAAATTATGTCTAAGTCACATAGACAAACATTGTGGAACACACGGGTAATTACAAATCTTCGGGCCATTAAGGCCTCTTTATCTACGGCTCGGGCTTTCAATCTGGCCTTGTGTTCGTAATTGCCTAGTTATCGCCCCTGTGAAACAATGTACTGAAACGCACTTTCCCTCTATTCTCGCATGTGGCATAAAGATGTCTACACTTTATATGTCTGTCATGTCTGTTATTTTCACAAAATCATATGTCTAAGAGTCGAAAAACAAAACTGCGGTAGGTATCTTATTGCCCCGGTTCCGATAGCCATTCGTTCACGATCATGAACCGTACTGAAAGTATTTTTTAAACTAGGTAACGACATATATCGTAAAAAGAGTGTTGCACTGCTGTTATTGATAAGAAAGTATAGGAAAAAACAAAGAATTCGCAAATTCTTGCGATGCGTCATGCGAGCTGGTTTTGTGTTTCGACACTAAATGGAAAAATCAAACCTACAGAGTATAAACAAGTCACTTTTTTGGCAGACTGTCGTCGCGGACAGTCCCTCGTCGTCTGGGCAATCTCTGAAGGGCGTCAAGCAGCGCGAGCTGTTGACATATACCTCTGCGGAAAGTCTTCCCTGCCCGGTCCTGGCGGCGTCATCTACAACCATTGAGCGTAACGAAGAGTGGCGAGATCTGAGTATGTATTCATATGCTACGGCTCTAGGAGACCATCTGCATAATGTGACTTCAAATCAACAAGTATACTTGAAGTGAAGAAATTGAAACAAGCATGAAAATTTCGTAGAAAACCAGGAATTTTTAAAAAAGACAGAAAATATAGACGAAGCATACGTAAAAGTATTTATAAACGATAAAAAAGGAAGCTCCGTAAATTTCCACTGCAATAGATGTCATTCATTTAACTGGTAATGTTTTCTTTATGCATTGTTAATAATGCCATTAGTAGTGATAATGTTTTCGTTATATGTAATTATACTGATAATGTTCTCATTGTCAATTATGTTATTGTATTGATAATGTTTTCGTTATGTATTGTCCATGATGTCATTATAGTGGTAATGTTTTGATTATGCATTATCAATGATGACGTAATACCTTAAAAGTATCCCAATTTGCCTGTTTAAATGAAATATAATGAGTAGGATATGTTAATATCTTTATTTTATAGAAATCATTTCACCGTCCGTAACATAAACAAAAATGTAAAAACATTCAATTGAAAGAGAACCTTACAAATATCTTCCTAGAGCTGTGACGTGGTAACGATTAGTCGTATAGAGCATTTAGAAAATAAATATAGAATGCGGTCATACAACCTGGCAATAAGCAAGAATCGTTAGACTTATATGTTATTGAACTAGAAAAGACAATAATTTGTGGACGTCACCATGAAAATAGATGTAAACCGGCAAAGGATGAGAGATGATATATGGCATTTATTAGTCGGACGCAATTTCACAAGTCTACTCGGAATTCCTGAGGTGCAAATAATGAATAAAAATAAAGTTTAAACTGTTTACTTTAAAAATGATATAGATCATAAATTAAATATTGATAAATAGATTCATCAGTCTTTGGCTGAAATGATGAAATTGATACGTATTATGTTTTGTGCATACAATATCCCCGGTATTGGATTGATCGAAAGCCAAAATGACGTTGCCACCCTAATGTAATTTGGAATTTCAACTCAAATTTCGTAATAATTCGTTCAAAAGTTTTAATTTGTGGATACCATCAAAATTGTCACAGTCACTCTAAAATACATAACAGGTAATGTGCGCAAATTTTCTAAAAATAAATTTCAGAAAAAGCGAAAATAATAAAAAAAATTTAGAAAAATATTCAATTTTTTTCTATAAAATATATCTTTCTAAATTATTTTTCTATGAACTAACACTAGTGCGAATAATAAAAAAAAGTAATATGATTGAAGTTTACTGTACATTATTTGCTTCTTAAATTTTTCATAAATCAATGAATTTGATAAAAATAAAATTATCTGGCCCAATAGTTATTGTATTTTTATATTGCGCCATGAATTGCAATATTAAAATTGATCGGGCTACATTTTTTTTTTAGTCCAAGTACCATGTAACTACATTTTTTTAAGCCTAACTAGGGAAACCTTGTGTCGCGGGTGCCATGAACACACGCATAGACAATTTCTCCCGGCTCGGGCATCAAACCCGAAACCTCTGCGTGGCAGTCCAGCATAGTAACCGTTCGGCCGCGGAGGCAGTTAACATTAATAACGTTTGGATACTTTCATACATAAACTTTTATAAGAATAATGTAGCATTGGATATCTATGCTAAATATTTTATTTAAAAAAAACTCATCCGAATTGATGAAATTAAAAAAAAAAGAAAAAAGACCTGTTGTCGGTTAACATCTTAATGGAACCTAATTTTGTTCTAAAATGGCTTTAACCTGATCTAGCCATTGCCAGGTCTAAATTGACCATTACATTGTTGAAGCTTCGAACATCATTATCGCGTTAACGTCGTTATTCTCGAGTAAAAAGTTTACACTTTCGACTGGATTCGAAAGAATATTAATGAAAATATATTCAAATTGATTATTATTCCTTATAAATTGATGATAATTCACTGTGTTTTATAGTATTTTGTGTAAGTTTTGATTAAAAAAATTTTTTTTTTGCGAATTATCTCGTAAATCTTAGATTTAAGCGTTATTATTTTCGAATATTTACATAATGCCACACACTAGAATAAACCTCTCTTTTGGACTTCACTTTCGGATTTTGTGAATTTGAACGCTGTACCGACAAAGTTAAGTTCAATTTTCGCAGAGTATATTGATGGGTGCGGCCAATGATAATATTTAATTGTATAAACAATTCAATTCTTTGATAAATCATTTGCTAATCACATTCCGTTATAAGACTTTTGTCGATTTTAATCACGATTACGGTTTTTTTTGATGGTGTCATCGTAACTGTGATCTCTCAAGTGTCATATGAAATTTAAAATCCTATTTTGTTTTTAATATTATTGCAATTGTTTTTAAGAATTAATTTTAAAGCCAGTATTCAATTTTGATATGTTTATAGTTCCTTTATTTTTTTCCTTCCTCTATGTTTATAGACCGGTTTATAGACGCCATTTGACATGATCGTACCGCGTTTTAAGCTGCGTCCAAACTTTGTAGTGCGATAGCGATGTGCGGTCAATGTTGAAATTTGATAATATTAATATAATGTTTTGCTCTTTATAATTATTGTACTAAAATCGGAGTTTTCATTAGCTGTATAAACCTGACAGCTACTTTGTAATATAATGCTGCCATCTCAATTGTACAATGATGGCATGTGTTTGGATCACTTCTCAATCGAATCACTGACACACAAATCAGTCTAAAATAAACGTTATAATGAATCATGACCAGAGATGGGCAGTGGGTTATAACCCTATCAACCCGCCCGGGTTTTAACCCATTTCTGCCCATAATCCGATTTTCAAGCGAATCGATTCACAATAGAAAAGCAATTTGTGTTGTCTACATCGGAAAGCAATAACCTTTTGTAATAATATCATTTAACCGAGTTCTTAGGTTTTCGCGATTTTCCTAAATATCATTTAATTTGAAAAAAACTGGATTTCCAACACATATTTAGTTGTTTATAGTTTTTGCTTTTGAGTTTGGGCGTTAATGGTTTTTAACCCGATTTAAACACGGCGTTAACAAAGCCCTTAAAACCCTGGCGCTTGCTCATCTCTGATCATGACCTACTGGAGTGAGTCATTGAAATGGACCACTTTGACAATACTATAAATGGTAGTTTTGTCCAGCTAATTAAAAATCCGACTGTAAGTATAACACATCATTTTGTAAGTTTGAAATGTTTATGAGAGTTTACGACAGATTAGTTGTGGTGCCATTTTATTTAAAATATTTTTTTATTTGCAATTTTATCATGTGTTATTAAAGGTTTTTCATACCATTATTAGTTTAAATGTAGTTTTGTCGAGTTCCATCGAAAGGCGTTAATATTGCGTACAAAATGTATTTCAGCATTTCAAAAAAGCAGGTCTTTTCAAAATTACATAGAATATTCAGTTATAGTGATTATGGTTTTGTATTAGAATTTTGTAGAATACGTTTCAATCGAATATATTTATATTAAATTAAATTAATCGAAATTGCATAAAATCTGTGATTACTTTTAATTGAGATTAAATATGAGTTATTATAAGAAATACGTATTTTGGTTCAAATCGACGATTCGAGTTCCTAAGCGTGTTGTAAACTATTAATTTTATATTTCTTTTTGACACATTTATGAGGTTATCAATTAAGCTGCCTACACATGATATTTTGACAAAAAAGCTAAGTAGCTGTGAATGCACCAGCCCCCGTAGTATGGCTACGCATGACAGTCGCGACGCGCGCGATAAAATTGAAATAAGTGCGGGCTATTGGCTGTCTCAATCTAATTTAGATAGCCAATGGGACGTGCTTATTTCACTTTTATCGGGCGTGTCGCGTCTATCATGCGTAGCCATGCCACGGAGGCAGGAATCGTAATAATTGGAATGGGAAACTATTTAGAAATTAAAGATTTTTGCTAAGTACTCTAGATGATTAATAGTTGCTAAAAAGTTCTTCTTCTCCTTCAGCCTTTAGTCACCCACTGCTGAGCCTCCTCATTGTGGGCCTCCTCATTTGCACACCACTCTCTTCGATCTCGGGACATTTGCATCCAGAGGTCTTTTTGGTTATCCTGACTATATCGTCCGGCCATCTAGCCTTTTTACCGGTCTAGCTTATTTCACCCGCACAACGCCACTTTCTTTACGCATTGTTAAAAAATGGTAAAAAGATACTAGAATTTTTATTATCAGTATATTTCTAGCTAGCTAACTCTGTGCCTACATATGTGTTTTCTTGAGCAATGTAAGCTTCAAAATGAGTTGAAAACACAACCACATACCTTTTCTTAGCACGTCCGCACAAAGGCACATTTCACTTTTTTTTTCAAAAGTAATGGTCCAAGCCAAAATAGATCATTTTGACTTTTTATTAGATACCAGAATAGGCAAATTCTATTTACCTAAAGTTCATCTATTCCAAAGCGGATATCCCTCTAAAAAGGCAAAATGTCAAAAAATATCGAGTTCTTAGGTTTTCGCGATTGTTACACATAGGAAATGAAACTATTTTTCCGGATTACGGACCTGTAAAAGGCCCGAAACGTCGGTTTGCTTGAAAAAACAAGTATACGCGAATTAAATCCGGAACAATAGTTTCATTTCCTACGTCAAAAAATAGTTACGATTTTCCTTACCATTAAAAATTGTCCTTCTAAGTACATTACGTAGTTGCTAGTTACATATAAAAAATTTAGCATGAAATACATTTAAATAATTCCGCTTAGTTTCAACACCACATTTAACGCTACATTTCTTTACAACTGTGGCGCTTGCTTCTTTGTATTTACATAATGACTTTCTTTGTCAAACTCGCTCAAAGTAGAATATCCTGTCGTAAATGTGTCGTAAAGAAATATGTGTATTAATAATTAACGCTAATATTAAGAATTAATTTCTAAGCTTGTACTGTTTTATTAATTGTATAATAACGAGTGTATTTTTTATTGTAACGAATATCATTTATCGTTAATACTTTTGAATAACATGGATATATCAAGATGCGATACAATGTATATATATTATTTATAATGTTATTTATTTTTAATTTATTACAAGCTTTTTGTCATCAAAGCCAAAGTATTTTAAAAGCCAAAAATGCCATTAGATTTTTGATAATACATGTCAATTAATACAGTCATTCTCGTACTAGTGTTCACTAACTAATTTCCATCGCAATTTTTATTATTTAATAATGACACGATAATATACTTGAATATTTAAATAATAAAAATTGCCACGGCAATTAGTGAACACTGCTCCGAGAATGACCGAATAGATGTCCAGTTTCATGACAAGGCTCTTCTTAATATGTGAACAATTAGAAATAGAATCATTTGTGTAACAAGGCTACGTGTGCAGTATGACTACTTTTCAGGTGACAGGTTTCCAATTTCTACGTACCAAATGAAATTAGTTTTAAAAATATTTTTCATGCCCAAATAAGAGAGATTAACTTCACTTGTATAGGGTTATTTGTAAAACACTTAACAACCTCGCATGACTATATTACTAACATCGTAAACAACCACTTTTGCTCCATGACTTTTAATAATTCAACAATTCTACTTTTATACAAAAATAAACAGATTTAAATAGATCGCTTTAGACCATAGTTTCCCAAATTGATCCCTACCTCAAAGACCACTGAAGAGTCCTAGAAGGCGGGGGGCCTTAGAAGTAATTGGGGGGCGTTGATGCTGTCCAGGGGGTGGTACCTCATTTGAAAAAAAAAAAACATGAATCTATCTTCTTCTCTATATCTATATAAACTATATATAATTATTTTTCCCTGTGATTTTTGTGTTAATATAATAAATACGTGTTTTCAATCATTTATGATGGTGGACATTGAAATTGTTTTATTTGGACTAAGTGGGCGGTGAGCCAAGAAGTTTGGGAACCTATGCTCTAAACAGTAATAACTCTGTGCAGGACGGGGGTGGAAGTCGTCGCGGAGAACCCTTCCACGTTCGAACTTGTTCTACC